CTGAAATGAATTTAGCGACTTGGGCGGATGTATTCGAGTTAGAAGGGTCGGAAGGGGGGGGGGGGTCGGAAGGGGGGGGGGTCTGAGTACCCAGATAATTTAAATCCATAACATAGACGCCCTGCAACACGTGAGATTAAACACCCCTGCTACGTGACATAAATGGTACGGTCTGCCCGTTGAAACTAATTGGCGACTTGGGCTAATCCATACGCGTTAGAGGGGGACACGGGGTGGGGTCTAAGAGTCAAGCTCATCAAAGTATTATTTTATTATTATTTATAACACCCCTGTGCGGTGTCATAATGGTACGGTCCGGTCATTGAAACCAATGAGCGACTTGGGCTAATCCATTTAATTTAGAGGGGAAGCAGGGGTGGAGGCAAGCGTGGGGTAACAACGTTGCACGACTTGCAACGTTGTTACAAATAAAATAACACCCCTACGTCGCGTCACATATGTCACGGTCCGGCCATTGAAATGAATAGGCGCCTTGTGTTGATACATTCGAGTTCGAGGCGGAGAAGAGGTGAGGTAAGTACTCCGTTCATTTAAATCCGTGACAAAAACCTAACCCCGCAACGTGAATAAAACACCCTACGTGGTGCCACAGTGGTACGGTCCGCCATCTGAAATGAATGTTACATGGACTGATCCAAATACGTTACAGGGGGGGTGGAAGTAAATAACGACACCCCCCTTTGAATGTCAATAATGGTATGACCCACGATTGCGACCGGGTTGATGTGAATGGACTTGGACCAATCCATTCCTGAGAGGGTGCACTAAGGGTGCAGTAAGTCCGAAGTCCACTCTCGACCCGACAACAACCCCCCCCCCACACACAAAACGTGCAATGGTTGATATTAAACACCACCCCCCTCTTCTCGGTGTCACCATAGTACAGTCCGCGCAGTGGAATTAATGCGACATCTTGTAAAAAAAAATCGGACTATACCATTGCACCGCGACAATAGGGATGCTGTCAAATTCAAATCGCCTTAATTACGTTAACGTAACGATGCAGGGATAAACCAAGAATCACGGCTTAATATCTGGACAGTTGCTGGGATGGGGTGCCCACCACCACCACGCAAATTCATTACAGGGGCCGTCCATAAATGACGTCACGCGATTTATGACCCCCCCTCAAATATGACGTCACAAAGCTCTGCCCCCCCCCCAAAAAAAAACATATTTCCATTTTAAAAATAAAAGATGCTTCAAATCGCTTTAAACTATTGTTGTCATTGTAGTGCGTATTTAATGTGGCCACTGCACTCTGATGTTGTAGGAGAAAACATTTATTAACAAGTCTATTTAATTAAGCAGAAACGTGTTGTCTGTATTTATTTATAAAGTTGCGCATTGTGATGTGACGTCACATTTCTCAAACCCCCCCACCCTCGTCACAAATGTCTGACACCCCCCCCCCTGCTCCCAGGTGCGTGACGTCATTTATGGACGGCCCTACAGGTGCTCCAGCAGTTGTAAGTTTTGAGGGCAGGACAACCCCACTGTTGTACCGCACTTCTATGCGACCCGCAACATGGCCACAAGTGTAGGAATAGGTTTCACCCTTTTAACTGGCACAAAAACTGACACCTTTATTCAAGGCGTCATGTTTGCAATAACCACAACACAAGCAGTCTAAATTGCAAACTGCTTGTGTTGTGGTTATTGCAAACATGACGCCTTGAATAAAGGTGTCAGTTTTTGTGCCAGTTAAAAGGGTAAAACCTATTAACTATATCTTGTTACTGGCAAAGGAGGTCTCATAATGGCCACAGTGGTGAAGTATGGTCAAATGATAACCGGCGCTTCCTCTCCAAATGTTTGTTGTGTCCGCGGTTGAGGCGCTGTTCTCTGCTCGGTCACTGCTGGCGAGTCCATTGAGAAGGCGAATGCCACGACCACCAGGGTCCTGTTGGGTTATTGTTTTATATATATTGTATTATTTTATTGTTTCCCTTCAACGTGACTTTACCGAAAGAGCTAAGAATATGAACCCTGTTGGCTTGTTTGCGTGTTCGGTGGCAACACGGAGATGGAACTGAATTCGTGTCCCAGGCCATTCAAACACCGACATTCATTTTCCCCATAAGAATTCACGTAAATTACATTAATTGGTTCCAGACACGAGAAATCTCTAATTATAAAGCAGTTGTACACCAAGTTCACACTAATTACAAATAATACAAAAAAATAAACAATAAATGTAATAAATAAATGGAATAAATGGACATTGAGCTTCACTTAACCTGTAGTAAGGAGAGTTGATGGCTTGAGTGGATGGTGGTGGTGGTGTTGTTGTTGTATGGAAGGGGGAGTTCCCCTTGCGGGGCAAGCGTCGTGCACGCCACTGGCCACGCGCGTCTCAGCCGTAGAGGTTCTGTCAAGATCGCGATTCCCCGTTCCATCTCCGCGCTTCTACGGCACCGTGCGCTTGATGTGGAGGAGCAAGGCCTTAGCCATGGCGTCAACATTGGGGAGGGGGACCAAGTCTTCCAGGGGGTTCCAACCCCCAGAAACAAAAATCTAAATTTAAAAACGAATTTCCTGCCTAAAATATTACAAAAATTCACGAACGCTTTTGGGATGGAATTTTTTACTTATTTTGTACAATAATGTCTGAGAGTGGTATTGTATTATACATTGCTCTGTTTTGACCTTTTCTCGTTTCATTGTAATGGCAGAGGGATTAATCATATAAACAGAAATCTATGCATTGATTTATATGAAGATAAGTCCAGATATTGTGGGCAAGGTTTAGCAAATTGTTATTTTTATTTACATATAAATTTATTTTTTTATAGCAATATATTGGGGGGGGGGGGGGGACATTTTGAGCATACAGTATTTGAATATATTATAATTAGCTGTACTACCCCCGGCTTCGCCCAGGACTTGAGTCCAGCAAGCCCGGCCGCCTGTCTCCCCAGTGGCGATGTTCACACACCACAGCAGTTACTAGTTCGAGGCTGAGCCGACCTAGGGGAGGCCCAGAAGCGGTTGAAATAATCGTCACCGGTGGTGGCCGTGAGCGGGAATCGAACTCGGGTCGCCGGGTTCGTAGCGCAGCGTAGCACTAACCACTACACCACCGCTCCCCCCACACACACAGACAGCGCGCTAACCACTACACTACAATGCGTTACGCTTCCACATGCGAGGGTCACGTGACAGATTTGACGTCACAGCTCACTTGCCGTGCAAAAATAATAAGCATTATTGAGCTCCCCCCCCACCCCCCAAAAAAAGTGTATATTTTTATGTTTGCATGGTGTACAGTCGGGAAAGTACCCACACGGCAAATTTCCAGTTTGTTGCATGTCGGGAAGTACGCTAAACATTTTGAACAGACATTCACAAATGTGCCTTTTATATATATGGAGATTACGGCCTTGATGTGGAGACTTGATTCCTTGCGAAAGCTGTCATCTATGTGGGCGTTTGAACGTCTGAGCACGAGATGTAGGGGCAAGTGCTGTTAGCGAGTAGCAGCAGCACCTGTGAAGGCTACCGCCACACCAGGGCGTGGGTGGTCAGCACCACCACCACCACCCGCCCGCCTTTGCCTCCCCAGTGCTAGCGATGCTTACTCCACACCGCGCTCCAGGTACTCATGTGAGGCTGAGTCGACCTAGGGGAGTCCCAGGACCCAATCCGCTGACCGCTGTCGCCGGCGGTGAGCGGTCCCCGACGTCGCCTCTCCGTCGGGCTCGGAGCGTCGCCGCTCCCCACGACAAACCCCGCCACGTACAGCTCTCAACAAGACGGCCTCCATTCCTGAATGTTCACTTCAGCAGGTGAGAGGCGCCGTTCACAGCCATCACAACGTCCTTTCCTCAAAGTGAACTTGTGTGCAAGGCGATGCCAACCAACGTGTCACGGCGACGTTCTTTATTCAACCAAACCAGAGAAACGACTCGTGGGGACACTCGGGCCCAGCACTCAGCCCACCACGCCAGAGTCCTCAGAGAGCCAAATCATCGTCTCTCTTTCAACTGACCCACTCACTCACACACCCACTCACTTATACACTCACTTACACACTCACTCACACACTCACTTACACACTCACTTACTCACTCACACATTCACTTACTCACTCACTCACCCACTCACTCACCCACTCACTCACTCACCCACTCACTCACTCACCCACTCACCCACTCACTCACTCACCCACTCACCCACTCACCCAAATGAGCCTCCCTCTCTCCTGGTCCCTGTCGAGTTCTCGCCAAGCTACACAAACTCAACCCCCACCCTCCGCGTGCCGAGTTACTCTTCATGCCTGTCCGTCTGTCTCTGTGCTCTCTACTCTGTCCGTGGTGGTAGTGGTGGTGGTAGTGGTGGTAGCGGTGTTGTTAGTGGTAGTGGTGGTAGTGATAGTGATGGTAGTGGTGGTAGCGGTGTTGTTGGTGGTGGTCTTGTTGGTGGTGGTAGCGGTTTTTGTTGGTGGTGGTAGTCGTGGTGATAGTGGTGGTAGCGGTGCTGTTGTTAGTGGTAGTGGTGGTAGTAGTGGTGATAGTGGTGGTCGTGTTGGTGGTGGTAGCGGTGTTGTTGGTGGTGGTAGCGATGTTGTTGGTGGTGGTCGTGTTGGTGGTGGTAGCGGTGTTGTTGTTAGTAATGGTAGTGGTGGTAGTGGTGGTGATAGTGGTGGTAGCGGTGTCGTTGTTAGTGGTAGTGGTGGTAGTGGTAGTGATGGTAGTGGTGGTAGTGGTGATAGCGGTGTTGTTGGTGGTGGTGGTGCTAGCGGTGTTGTTGTTGGTGGTGGTGCTAGCGGTGTTGTTGGTGGTGGTGGTGCTAGCGGTGTTGTTGGTGGTAGTGGTGGTGATAGTGGTGGTAGTGGTGGTAGCGGTGTTGTTGGTGCTAGCGGTGTTGTTGTTGGTGGTGGTAGCGGTGTTGTTGGTGGTGCTAGTGGTGTTGTTGTTGGTGCTAGCGGTGTTGTTGGTGGTGCTAGTGGTGTTGTTGTTGGTGGTAGCGGTGTTGTTGGTGGTGCTAGTGGTGTTGTTGTTGGTGGTAGCGGTGTTGTTGGTGGTGCTAGTGGTGTTGTTGTTGTTGGTGGTGCTAACGTTGTTGTTGTTGTTGTTGGCGGTGTAAATCACAACCGTCCCCACTAGGCGGTGTCCCCGGGCAGCACGCGTCCTCGCTGGCGCGCCTTCTGTCGCTTGCGCTCGGCCCGGCCGTGGCGCTTGTCGGCGACGTTGCCGTCGCGCCGCTGCTGCCGCCGGCCCCGCCGCTCGCTCAGCTCCCCGGCTCGCGCCTCCCAGCGCCGACGCCGGGCCGCCTTCAGCTTCTGCTGGCGCTGCAGCGCCGAGCGCAGACGCGCCGGATCCTCCTTGAGCTTCACTCCCTGGGGGCGGGGGCAGAGGTGGCGACGGTGGCGCGGATGTTGGCGTTGAACGTTGGCGTCGGCTTTGATGGCGATGATGGGGTTGACGTTGGCGATGATGTTGGCGATGATGTTGGCGATGATGATGGCGATGTTGGCGTTGATGTTGGACATTGGTGTTGATGTTGGCTTTGATGGCGATGCTGGGGTTGATGTTGGCGCTGATGGCGATGTTGGCGTTAAACGTTGGTGTCGGCTTTGATGGCGATGCTGGGGTTGATGTTGGCGCTGATGTTGGCGATGATGTTGGAGATGATGTTGGCGATGTTGGCATTAAACGTTGATGTTGGCTTTGATGGCGATGCTGGGGTTGATGTTGGCGATGATGTTGGCGTCGATGGCGATGTTGGCGTTAAACGTTGGTGTTGATGTTGGCTTTGATGGCGATGCTGGGGTTGATGCTGGGGTTGATGTTGGCGTTGATGGTGACATTCAGGACGACGATGTTCATGACGGCGGTGATGCCGACGGCGATGCTGGCGATCGATGTTGGGGTTGGTGTTGATGTTGGCGATGTTCGTGTTGATGACGATGATGATGTTGTTGTTGATATTGGTGATGTTCGTGTTGATGACGATGATGTTGTTGTTGTTGATATTGGTGATGTTCGTGTTGATGACGATGATGTTGTTGTTGTTGATATTGGCGATGTTCGTGTTGATGACGATGATGATGATGTTGATATTGGCGATGTTCGTGTTGATGACGATGATGGTGTTCTTGATATTGGTGATGTTCGTGTTGATGACGATGATGATGTTGTTGATATTGGTGATGTTCGTGTTGATGACGATGATGATGTTGTTGATATTGGTGATGTTCGTGTTGATGACGATGATGATGTTGTTGATATTGGTGATGTTCGTGTTGATGACGATGATGGTGTTGTTGATATTGGCGATGTTCGTGTTGATGACGATGATGGTGTTGTTGTTGATATTGGTGATGTTCGTGTTGATGACGATGATGTTGTTGTTGTTGATATTGGTGATGTTCGTGTTGATGACGATGATGTTGTTGTTGTTGATATTGGTGATGTTCGTGTTGATGACGATGATGGTGTTGTTGTTGATATTGGCGATGTTCGTGTTGATGACGATGATGGTGTTGTTGTTGATATTGGTGATGTTCGTGTTGATGACGATGATGTTGTTGTTGTTGATATTGGTGATGTTCGTGTTGATGACGATGATGTTGTTGTTGTTGATATTGGCGATGTTCGTGTTGATGACGATGATGGTGTTGTTGTTGATATTGGTGATGTTCGTGTTGATGACGATGATGGTGTTGTTGATATTGGCGATGTTCGTGTTGATGACGATGATGGTGTTGTTGATATTGGCGATGTTCGTGTTGATGACGATGATGATGTTGTTGATATTGGCGATGTTCGTGTTGATGACGATGATGGTGTTGTTGATATTGGCGATGTTCGTGTTGATGACGATGATGGTGTTGTTGATATTGGCGATGTTCGTGTTGATGACAATGATGATGTTGTTGATACTGGTGATGTTCGTGTTGATGACGATGATGTTGTTGTTGATATTGGCGATGTTCGTGTTGATGACGATGATGATGTTGTTGATATTGGTGATGTTCGTGTTGATGACGATGATGATATTGTTGATGTTGGTGATGTTCGTGTTGATGACGATGATGATGTTGTTGATATTGGTGATGTTCGTGTTGATGACGATGATGATATTGTTGATGTTGGCGATGTTCGTGTTGATGACGATGATGGTGTTGTTGATATTGGTGATGTTCGTGTTGATGACGATGATGATGTTGTTGTTATTGGTGATGTTCGTGTTGATGACGATGATGGTGTTGTTGATATTGGCGATGTTCGTGTTGATGACGATGATGATGTTGTTGATATTGGCGATGTTCGTGTTGATGACGATGATGGTGTTGTTGATATTGGCGATGTTCGTGTTGATGACGATGATGATGTTGTTGATACTGGTGATGTTCGTGTTGATGACGATGATGTTGTTGTTGATATTGGCGATGTTCGTGTTGATGACGATGATGATGTTGTTGATATTGGTGATGTTCGTGTTGATGACGATGATGATATTGTTGATGTTGGTGATGTTCGTGTTGATGACGATGATGATGTTGTTGATATTGGTGATGTTCGTGTTGATGACGATGATGATATTGTTGATGTTGGCGATGTTCGTGTTGATGACGATGATGGTGTTGTTGATATTGGTGATGTTCGTGTTGATGACGATGATGGTGTTGTTGATATTGGCGATGTTCGTGTTGATGACGATGATGTTGTTGATATTGGTGATGTTCGTGTTGATGACGATGATGGTGTTGTTGTTGATATTGGTGATGTTCGTGTTGATGACGATGATGATATTGTTGATGTTGGCGATGTTCGTGTTGATGACGATGATGGTGTTGTTGATATTGGTGATGTTCGTGTTGATGACGATGATGGTGTTGTTGTTGATATTGGTGATGTTCGTGTTGATGACGATGATGGTGTTGTTGTTGATATTGGTGATGTTCGTGTTGATGACGATGATGGTGTTGATATTGGCGATGTTCGTGTTGATGACGATGATGGTGTTGTTGATATTGGTGATGTTCGTGTTGATGACGATGATGATATTGTTGATATTGGCGATGTTCGTGTTGATGACGATGATGGTGTTGTTGATATTGGCGATGTTCGTGTTGATGACGATGCTGATTTTGTTGATATTTGTTCGTGTTGATGACGATGATGGTGTTGTTGATATTGGCGATGTTCGTGTTGATTACGATGATGTTGTTGATATTGGCGATGTTCGTGTTGATGACGATGCTGATGTTGTTGATATTTGTTCGTGTTGATGACGATGATGGTGTTGTTGATATTGGCGATGTTCGTGTTGATGACGATGCTGATGTTGTTGATATTTGTTCGTGTTGATGACGATGATGGTGTTGTTGATATTGGCGATGTTCGTGTTGATGACGATGCTGATGTTGTTGATATTTGTTCGTGTTGATGACGATGATGATGTTGTTGATATTGGTGATGTTCGTGTTGATGACGATGATGATATTGTTGATGTTGGCGATGTTCGTGTTGATGACGATGATGTTGTTGATATTGGCGATGTTCGTGTTGATGACGATGCTGATTTTGTTGATATTTGTTCGTGTTGATGACGATGATGGTGTTGTTGATATTGGCGATGTTCGTGTTGATGACGATGCTGATGTTGTTGATATTGGCGATGTTCGTGTTGATGACGATGATGTTGTTGATATTGGTGATGTTCGTGTTGATGACGATGATGATGTTGTTGATATTGGTGATGTTCGTGTTGATGACGATGATGGTGTTGTTGATATTGGCGATGTTCGTGTTGATGACGATGATGTTGTTGATATTGGTGATGTTCGTGTTGATGACGATGATGATGTTGTTGATATTGGCGATGTTCGTGTTGATGACGATGATGATGTTGATATTGGCGATGATGTTGACGATGACGATGTTGTTGATGATGTTGATGATGTTGACGATGTTGTTGATGATGTTGATGTTGACGATGTTGTTGATGATGTTGACGATGTTGTTGATGATGTTGATGACGATGTTGCTGATGTTGTTTATGTTGTTAATGTTGCTGATGATGACGATGTTGTTGATGTTGTTGTTGATGTTGATGTTGTTGATGCAGCAGCCACCTGTGCCTTGTAGAGGGCGTTGCTCCACCGCTGCTTCTCCTCCACACGTCTTGCCACCTCCTCCTCCCCTCTCTCACGAGCCGCTTTCACAGCATTCACCCTCTGCTCCACCCTGACCCCACCATCACCACCATCACTGTCACCATCACTATCACTGTCACCATCACTGTCACCGTCACTGTCACCATCACTGTCACCACCATCACCATCACTGTCACCATCACTGTCACCATCACCACCATCACCGTCACCACCACTGTCACCACCACTGTCACCATCACTGTCACCATCACTATCACCATCACTGTCACCATCACTGTCACCATCACTGTCACCATCACTGTCACCATCACTATCACCATCACCATCACTGTCACCATCACTGTCACCATAACTATCACTGTCACCATCACTGTCACCATCACTATCACCACCATCACCACCATCACCATCACTGTCACCATCACTGTCACCATCACTATCACCATCACTGTCACCATCACTGTCACCATCACTGTCACCATCACTATCACTGTCACCATCACTATCACCACCACTGTCACCATCACTATCACCAACAACAATTATGTTGATACTCTTTGGTTCTATTCGGTAAAGTCAAAGAGTATGGATCCTTGCAGTCACGAAAGCTTCAAATCTAGAACTACGTTGATGGTGGTTGTAGCGGTGGCGGTGTGGTTGTTGGTGGCGATGGTGGTGGTACCGGTAGTGGTGGTGATGCCAACGGTGATCGTGGTGGCGATGGTGGTGATGCTAGGGCTGGTGGTGATGATAATGGTGGTGATGCTAATCGTAGTGGTGGCGATGGCAGTGGCGGTGGTGGTGGTGATGCTAGGGCTGGTGGTGATGATAATGGTGGTGATGCTAGGGCTGGTGGTGATGATAATGGTGGTGATACCAATCGTAGTGGTGGCGATGGCAGTGGCGGTGGTGGTGGTGATGATAATGGTGGTGATGATAATGGTGGTGATGATAATGGTGGTGATGATAATGGTGGTGATGCTAACGGTGATCGTGGTGGCGATGGTGGTGATGCTAATCGTAGCGATGGCGATGGCAGTGGCGGTGGTGATGCTAGGGCTGGTGGTGATGATAATGGTGGTGATGCTAATCGTAGTGGTGGTGATGGCAGTGGCGGTGGTGGTGGTGATGCTAGGGCTGGTGGTGATGATAATGGTGGTGATGCTAACGGTGATCGTGGTGGCGATGGTGGTGATGCTAGGGCTGGTGGTGATGATAATGGTGGTGATGCTAGGGCTGGTGGTGATGATAATGGTGGTGATGCTAATCGTAGTGGTGGCGATGGCAGTGGCGGTGGTGATGCTAGGGCTGGTGGTGGTAGTGATGGTGGTGATGCTAATCGTAGTGGTGGCGATGGCAGTGGTGGTGGTGATGGTGGCTCACCGGGCGAGCAGCTGTTTGTAGTTCTTCCCGGTGAGCGGCGTAAACCCGCCGATGGACGCCGCCCGCTGGGCCCGGCGCTTCTCCGCTCGTGTGCGGGGCGCCCCCCCCACCCCCTCCCTGTCCCCCTCGGCGCCGTCGAACGTCAGGCGGCTGAAATTCAGGGCCCCCTTCTTGGCGCCGGCGCCGCCGCCGCCGGCCGGTTTCCCCGTCGCTCCCTCGCCGCTCGCCGACTCCGCCGCCGCCGCCGCCGCTGTCGCCCGCACTTCGCGTTTCAACGTTTTCCCGCCGGCTTTGGCCGCAGCGCCGCGTTCCGGTCTCCCGTCCGGTCCGGTTCCGGTGGAACTCCGGGATGGATCGCCGACGCCCGGCTCCGGCTCCTTCCCGCCGGCCCCGGCCCTCCGCGGTGGCACGCCGCCTCTCGGCCGTCCCTCGCCTCCGGCTCCCGCCCTGGCTCCGGCTTTGGCCCCAACTCCGGCTCCGGCTTTGGCCCCAACTCCGGCTCCGGCTTTGGCCCCAACTCCGGCTCCGGCTCCGGCTTTGGCCCCGGCTCCGGCTCCGGCTTTGGCCCCAACTCCGGCTCCGGCCCCAACTCCGGCTTCAGCTCCGGCTTCAGCTCCGGCTCCGGCTCCGGCCCCGGCCCGGTCGTCCGGCGCAGCCACCGCGGCCCCCGAGCCGCCACGGCGGCGGCGGCGCCCGGACTTCTTGTCCTGGATCTTGGCTCGCTGCTCCCGCCGCTGCTCCTTCTTGCGTCGCCGCCCCTCCTGGCGACGCAAGCGCCGCTCGCCTGCCGTGTCGGCGGCCGTGGCGCTGCCGCAGCCTGGGGCACCGGCGGGCTGCGGTGGGCGACACGGGGACGGGGGGAGGTGGTGGTGGTTGTGGTGATGGTGATGGTGGTGATAGTGATGTTCTAGATGGTATTGGTGGTGGTGGTGATGGTCGTGATGTTCTAGATGGTATTGGTGGTGGTGGTGATGGTCGTGATGTTCTAGATGGTATTGGTGGTGATGGTGGTGATGGTCGTGATGTTCTAGATGGTATTGGTGGTGATGGTCGTGATGTTCTAGATGGTATTGGTGGTGATGGTGGTGGTGGTCGTGATGTTCTAGATGGTATTGGTGGTGGTGGTGATGGTCGTGATGTTCTAGATGATATTGGTGGTGATGGTCGTGATGTTCTAGATGGTATTGGTGGTGATGGTGGTGGTGGTCGTGATGTTCTAGATGGTATTGGTGGTGATGGTGGTGATGGTGGTGATGGTGGTGGTGATGGTCGTGATGTTCTAGATGGTATTGGTGGTGATGGTGGTTATGGTGGTGGTGATGGTGATGGTCGTGATGTTCTAGATGGTATTGGTGGTGGTGGTGATGGTCGTGATGTTCTAGATGGTATTGGTGGTGATGGTGATGGTGGTGGTCGTGATGTTCTAGATGGTATTGGTGGTGGTGGTGATGGTCGTGATGTTCTAGATGATATTGGTGGTGATGGTCGTGATGTTCTAGATGGTATTGGTGGTGATGGTGGTGGTGGTCGTGATGTTCTAGATGGTATTGGTGGTGATGGTGGTGATGGTGGTGATGGTGGTGGTGATGGTCGTGATGTTCTAGATGGTATTGGTGGTGATGGTGGTTATGGTGGTGGTGATGGTGATGGTCGTGATGTTCTAGATGGTATTGGTGGTGGTGGTGATGGTCGTGATGTTCTAGATGGTATTGGTGGTGGTGGTGATGGTCGTGATGTCCTAGATGGTATTGGTGGTGGTGGTCGTGATGTTCTAGATGGTGATGGTGGTGGTGATGTTCTAGATGGTATTGGTGGTGATGGTCGTGATGATCTAGATGGTATTGGTGGTGGTGGTGATGGTCGTGATGTTCTAGATGGTATTGGTGGTGATGGTGGTGGTGGTCGTGATGTTCTAGATGGTATTGGTGGTGGTGGTGATGGTCGTGATGTTCTAGATGGTATTGGTGGTGATGGTGATGGTGGTGGTCGTGATGTTCTAGATGGTATTGGTGGTGGTGGTGATGGTCGTGATGTTCTAGATGATATTGGTGGTGATGGTCGTGATGTTCTAGATGGTATTGGTGGTGATGGTGGTGGTCGTGATGTTCTAGATGGTATTGGTGGTGATGGTGATGGTGGTGATGTTGGTGGTGGTGATGGTGGTGGTGGTCGTGATGTTCTAGATGGTATTGGTGGTGATGGTGGTGGTCGTGATGTTCTAGATGGTATTGGTGGTGATGGTTGTGATGTTCTAGATGGTATTGGTGATGGTAGTGGTGATGGTTGTGATGTTCTAGATGGTGATGGTGGTGGTGATGTTCTAGATGGTATTGGTGGTGATGGTCGTGATGTTCTAGATGGTATTGGTGGTGATGGTCGTGATGTTCTAGATGGTATTGGTGGTGATGGTGGTGGTGATGGTCGTGATGTTCTAGATGGTATTGGTGGTGGTGATGGTCGTGATGTTCTAGATGGTATTGGTGGTGGTGATGGTGGTGGTGATGGTGGTGATGTTCTAGATGGTATTGGTGGTGATGGTGGTGGTGATGGTCGTGATGTTCTAGATGGTATTGGTGGTGGTGATGGTGGTGGTGATGGTGGTGATGTTCTAGATGGTATTGGTGGTGATGGTGGTCGTGATGGTCGTGATGTTCTAGATGGTATTGGTGGTGGTGATGGTGGTGGTGATGGTGGTGATGTTCTAGATGGTATTGGTGGTGATGGTGGTGGTGATGGTGGTGATGTTCTAGATGGTATTGGTGGTGATGGTCGTGATGTTCTAGATGGTATTGGTGGTGGTGATGGTCGTGATGTTCTAGATGGTATTGGTGGTGGTGATGGTGGTGGTGATGGTGGTGATGTTCTAGATGGTATTGGTGGTGATGGTGGTGGTGATGGTCGTGATGTTCTAGATGGTATTGGTGGTGGTGATGGTGGTGGTGATGGTGGTGATGTTCTAGATGGTATTGGTGGTGATGGTGGTCGTGATGGTCGTGATGTTCTAGATGGTATTGGTGGTGGTGATGGTGGTGGTGATGGTGGTGATGTTCTAGATGGTATTGGTGGTGATGGTGGTGGTGATGGTGGTGATGTTCTAGATGGTATTGGTGGTGATGGTGGTGGTGGTGGTCGTGATGTTCTAGATGGTATTGGTGGTGGTGATGGTGGTGGTGATGGTCGTGATGTTCTAGATGGTATTGGTGGTGATGGTGGTGGTTGTGATGTTCTAGATGGTATTGGTGGTGGTGGTGATGATGGTTGTGATGTTCTAGATGGTAATGGTGGTGATGGTGGTGGTCGTGATGTTCTAGATGGTATTGGTGGTGATGGTGGTGGTGATGTTCTAGATGGTATTGGTGGTGATGGTGATGGTCGTGATGTTCTAGATGGTATTGGTGGTGGTGATGGTCGTGATAGTTGTGATGTTCTAGATGGTATTAGTGGTGATGGTGATGGTGGTGGTCGTGATGTTCTAGATGGTAATGGTGGTGATGGTGGTGATGGTCGTGATGTTCTAGATCGTATTGGTGGTGATGGTGATGGTCGTGATGTTCTAGATGGTATTGGTGGTGATGGTGGTGATGTTCTAGATGGTATTGGTGGTGATGGTGATGGTCGTGATGTACTAGATGGTATTGGTGGTGATGGTGGTGGTGATGGTCGTGATGTTCTAGATGGTATTGGTGATGGTGGTGATGGTGGTGGTGGTGGTCGTGATGTTCTAGATGGTATTGGTGGTGATGGTCGTGATGTTCTAGATGGTATTGGTGATGGTGGTGGTGGTGGTCGTGATGTTCTAGATGGTATTGGTGATGGTGGTGATGGTGGTGATGTTCTAGATGGTATTGGTGGTGATGGTCGTGATGTTCTAGATGGTATTGGTGGTGATGGTGGTGGTGGTGGTCATGATGTTCTAGATGGTATTGGTGGTGATGGTTGTGGCGATGGTTGTGATGGTAGTAATGGTTGTGATGGTAGTGATGGTTGTGATGGTAGTAATGGTTGTGATGGTTGTGATGGTAGTGATGGTGGTGATGGTAGTGATGAAGTTGATGGTGGTGGTTGTGGTGATGGTGGTGATGGTAGTGATGGTTGTGATGGTAGTGATGGTGGTGATGGTGGTGATGGTGGTGATGGTAGTGATGGTTGTGATGGTAGTAATGAAGTTGATGGTGGTGGTTGTGGTGATGGTGGTGATGAAGTTGATGATGGTGATGGAGTTGATGGTGGTGATGGAGTCTCACTCTTCTGTGCGGTTTCTTCATCTCTGCTGCCTTCTCCTGGAGTCGAAGTCTCAGCATGGCCAGCGCAGAGCCTGCAGTGACACACCACGCCTACGGCACCACGCCTACGGCACCACGCCTACGGCACCACGCCTACGGCACCACGCCTACGGCACCACGCCTACGGCACCACGCCTACGGCACCACGCCTACGGCACCACGCCTACGGCACCACGCCTACGGCACCACGCCTACGGCACCACGCCTACGGCACCACGCCTACGGCACCACGCCTACGGCACCACGCCTACGGCACCACGCCTACGGCACCACGCCTACGGCACCACGCCTACGGCACCACGCCTACGGCACCACGCCTACGGCACCACGCCTACGGCACCACGCCTACGGCACCACGCCTACGGCACCACGCCTACGGCACCACGGCCACAGCACCACAGCACGCCTACAGAACGACAGCGCACTACAGCACATCTACACAATGCTCATGCTTCTTTGGTTCTTTCGGTAAAGTCACGTAGAATAATAATAAAATAATAAATTGATAAAATAAAATAACACAATAATATTCTCACGTGAGAATATTATTGTGTTATTTTAGAACCAAAGAAGATGAATTATTGCAGTCACGAAAGCTTTAAATCGGAAAAAAAATGCTCATACTGACACAGCTGATGACGCTGATGACTATGCTGAAGTGATAATTATAATGGTGATGCTGACAATAATGATGCTAATGATGATGCTAATGATGACACTGATGATGATGATGGTGGTGACGGTGGTGATGATGATTTGACGTTATTGATGACGCCGATGATATTGTTGATGATATGACGACGCTGATGATGACGACGCTGATGTTGACGACACTGATGATGACGACGCTGATGATGACGACGCTGATGATGACGCTGTTGATGACGCCGATGACGGTGATGATGACGCTGATGATGACAGTGATGATGACGACGCTGATGATGACGATGCTGATGATGACGGTGATGACGCTGATGACGCTGATGATGACGTTATTGATGACGCTGATGATGTTGTTGATGACGCCGATGATGACGATGCTGATGATGACGGTGATGACGCTGATGATGACGACGCTGTTGATGATGACGGTGATGACGCTGTCCCCCGGATCGGTGCCTCAGCCGTCCCACCGTTACCCTCACTGCGCCCGTCCACGCTCCTCCCCACCACCGCCGCTGCCGCCGCCGTCCCCGGAGTCTTCTTCCCTGCCGCCACCTCCTCCACCTTCCGCCTCTTCCCCGCGTGGCACTCCGGGCTCTGTGGGGTCAACCTCGCTCCACCTGGCGGGGGGGAGGGGGTGACAAGCGGCCATCGTGAACCTCCTAGAGAGACGCCTGAACCTAGGGCTCGAACCCAGGTCCTGAGTTGACGTGCGAGTGCCTCGAGCGTGGTGCTGGTCACCCCCTCCCACCTCGTGCCGACCTTCACGGGCGCTGCTGCTCGCTAACGACACTTGCCCCAACGGTCTGTTCAGGCTATATGGGGGATCTTTGTCTTTGTGTGTCAATACAAATGGGGAGCGGTGGCGCAGCGGTTAGCGCTACGCTGAGCCGCTAACCCGGCGAAGACCCGGGTTCGATTCCCGCTCACGGCCCGCACCGGTGACGGTTAGCGGAACCAGTCCTGGGCCTCCTCTACGTCGGTTCAGCCTCAAACGAGTACCCTTGGTGCGGTGTGTAAAACATCGCCACCGGGGGAGACAAAGACGGCCGAGCGTGGTGCTGGTCACCCACCCCCTCGTGTGCCGTGCCGGCCTTCATAGGCGCTGCTACTCGCTACTAACAGCAATAGCTGTGACCGTGCTGTGTGTGTGCCATGCTGTGTGTGTGTGACCATGCTGTGTGTGTGACCGTGCTGTGTGTGTGTCACCATGCTGCGTGTGTGTCACCGTGCTGTGTGTGTGTGTCACCATGCTGTGTGTGTGTCACCATGCTGTGTTTGTGTGTCACCATGCTGTGTGTGTGACCATGCTGTGTGTGTGTCACCGTGCTGTGTGTGTGTCACCATGCTGTGTGTGTGTGTCACCGTGCTGTGTGTGTGTCACCATGCTGTGTGTGTGTCACCATGCTGTGTGTCACCATGCTGTGTGTGTGTCACCGTGCTGTGTGTGTGTGTCACCGTGCTGTGTGTGTGTCACCATGCTGTGTGTGTGTGTCACCGTGCTGTGTGTGTGTCACCATGCTGTGTGTGTGTGTGTGACCGTGCTGTGTGTGTGTGTCACCGTGCTGTGTGTCACCATGCTGTGTGTGTGTGTCACCGTGCTCTGTGTGTGTGTCACCGTGCTGTGTGTGTGTCACCGTGCTCTGTGTGTGTGTCACCATGCTGTGTGTGTGTGTCACCATGCTGTGTGTGTGTGTGTGTGACCGTGCTGTGTGTGTGTGTCACCGTGCTGTGTGTCACCATGCTGTGTGTGTCACCATGCTGTGTGTCACCATGCTGTGTGTGTGTCACCGTGCTCTGTGTGTGTGTCACCGTGCTGTGTGTGTGTCACCGTGCTCTGTGTGTGTGTCACCATGCTGTGTGTGTGTGTCACCATGCTGTGTGTGTGTCACTATGCTGTGTGTGTGTCACCGTGCTCTGTGTGTGTGTCACCGTGCTCTGTGTGTGTGTCACCGTGCTCTGTGTGTGTGTCACCGTGCTGTGTGTGTGTCACCATGCTGTGTGTGTGTCACCATGCTGTGTGTGTGTCACTATGCTGTGTGTGTGTCACCATGCTGTGTGTGTGTGTCACCATGCTGTGTGTGTGTCACTATGCTGTGTGTGTGTCACCATGCTGTGTGCGTGTGTCACCGTGCTGTGTGTGTGTGTGTCACCGTGCTGTGTGTGTGTCACCATGCTGTGTGTGTGTCACCATGCTGTGTGTGTGTCACCATGCTGTGTGTGTGTGTGACCGTGCTGTGTGTGTGTCACCATGCTGTGTGTGTGTGTCACCGTGCTGTGTGTGTGTGTCACCATGCTGTGTGTGTGTGTCACCATGCTGTGTGTGTGTGTCACCATGCTGTGTGTGTGTGTCACCATGCTGTGTGTGTGTCACCGTGCTGTGTGTGTGTGTCACCATGCTGTGTGTCACCATGCTGTGTGTGTGTCACCGTGCTGTGTGTGTGTCACCATGCTGTGTGTGTGTCACCATGCTGTGTGTGTGTGTGTCACCATGCTGTGTGTGTGTCACCATGCTGTGTGTGTGTGTCACCATGCTGTGTGTGTGTCACCATGCTGTGTGTGTGTCACCATGCTGTGTGTGTGTCACCATGCTGTGTGTGTGTGTGTCACCATGCTGTGTGTGTGTCACCATGCTGTGTGTGTGTGTGTGTCACCATGCTGTGTGTGTGTCACCATGCTGTGTGTGTGTCACCATGCTGTGTGTGTGTCACCATGCTGTGTGTGTGTCACCGTGCTGTGTGTGTGTCACCGTGCTGTGTGTGTGTCACCATGCTGTGTGTGTGTGTCACCATGCTGTGTGTGTGTCACCGTGCTGTGTGTGTGTCACCGTGCTGTGTGTGTGTCACCGTGCTGTGTGTGTGTCACCATGCTGTGTGTGTGTGTGACCATGCTGTGTGTGTGTGACCATGCTGTGTGTGTGTCACCGTGCTGTGTGTGTGTGACCATGCTGTGTGTGTGTGACCGTGCTGTGTGTGTGTCACCGTGCTGTGTGTGTGTGTCACCGTGCTGTGTGTGTGTGTCACCGTGCTGTGTGTGTGTCACTGTGCTGTGTGTGTGTCACCATGCTGTGTGTGTGTGTCACCGTGCTCTGTGTGTGTGTCACCGTGCTCTGTGTGTGTGTCACCGTGCTGTGTGTGTGTCACCATGCTGTGTGTGTGTCACCATGCTGTGTGTGTGTGTGACCGTGCTGCGTGTGTGTGTCACCATGCTGTGTGTGTGTGACTATGCTGTGTGTGTGTCACCATGCTGTGTGTGTGTGCCATGCTGTGTGTGTGCCGTGCTGTGTGTGTGTGTGTCACCATGCTGTGTGTGTGTGTCACCATGCTGTGTGTGTGTCACCATGCTGTGTGTCACCATGCTGTGTGTGTGTGTGACCATGCTGTGTGTGTGTCACCATGCTGTGTGTGTGTCACCGTGCTGTGTGTGTGTCACCATGCTGTGTGTCACCATGCTGTGTGTGTGTGACCGTGCTGTGTGTGTGTCACCATGCTGTGTGTGTGTGACCGTGCTGTGTGTGTGTCACCATGCTGTGTGTGTGTCACTATGCTGTGTGTGTGTGTCACCATGCTGTGTGTGTGTCACCATGCTGTGTGTGTGTCACTATGCTGTGTGTGTGTGTCACCGTGCTGTGTGTGTGTCACCATGCTGTGTGTGTGTCACCGTGCTGTGTGTGTGTCACCATGCTGTGTGTCACCATGCTGTGTGTCACCATGCTGTGTGTGTGTCACCGTGCTGTGTGTGTGTCACCATGCTGTGTGTCACCATGCTGTGTGTGTGTGACCGTGCTGTGTGTGTGTGTCACCATGCTGTGTGTGTGTGACCGTGCTGTGTGTGTGTCACTATGCTGTGTGTGTGTGTCACCATGCTGTGTGTGTGTCACCATGCTGTGTGTGTGTCACTGTGCTGTGTGTGTGTGTGTGTGACCATGCTGTGTGTGTGTCACCATGCTGTGTGTGTGTCACCATGCTGTGTGTGTGTCACCATGCTGTGTGTGTGTCACTATGCTGTGTGTGTGTGTCACCGTGCTGTGTGTGTGTCACCATGCTGTGTGTGTGTCACCGTGCTGTGTGTGTGTCACCATGCTGTGTGTGTGTCACCGTGCTGTGTGTGTGCCGTGCTGTGTGTGTGTCACCGTGCTGTGTGTGTCACCGTGCTGTGTGTGTGTGTCACCATGCTGTGTGTGTGCCATGCTGTGTGTGTGTGACCGTGCTGTGTGTGTGTGACCGTGCTGTGTGTGTGTGTCACCATGCTGTGTGTGTGTGACCGTGCTGTGTGTGTGTCACCATGCTGTGTGTGTCACTATGCTGTGTGTGTGTGTCACCATGCTGTGTGTGTGTGACCGTGCTGTGTGTGTGTCACCATGCTGTGTGTGTGTCACTATGCTGTGTGTGTGTGTCACTATGCTGTGTGTGTGTCACCATGCTGTGTGTGTGACCATGCTGTGTGTGTGTGTCACCGTGCTGTGTGTGTGTCACCATGCTGTGTGTGTCACTATGCTGTGTGTGTGTGTCACCGTGCTGTGTGTGTGTGTGTCACCATGCTGTGTGTGTGTCACTATGCTGTGTGTGTGTGTCACCATGCTGTGTGTGAGTCCGGGTCCCAGTCACAGCTGGAGCTGCGCTTCTCTTCGCCAGACGCATCAGAAAGCTGTCGTGAGCCACCAACGCCTCCATCGCGAACCCTGCAAAAAAAAACACAAAACGCCATCGCAAGGGTCGAGGGTTGGTTTCATGTAACGCGATGAGACCTGAACAGACCAGAGATGAGTCATCTCATCCGAGTGGGAACCCCCCCTCCCCTCCCGCACGCCTTGCCTGGTCCTAGCACTAAATGTAATAACAATGAACATCAACGCTTTCACCGATTGTCCATTGTGAGGCCAATTCTAAATTAGCTAAGTAACTGCAAGCGAATACCATGGGAATTGTCTAGTTCACCATGGGAGTTGTCCAGTTCACCATGGGAGTTGTCCAGTTCACCATGGGAGTTGTCCAGTTCACCATGGGAGTTGTCCAGTTCACCATGGGTATTGTCTAGTTCACCATGGGAGTTGTCTAGTTCACCATGGGAGTTGTCTAGTTCACCATGGAAGTTGTCCAGTTCACCATGGGTATTGTCTAGTTCACCATGGGAGTTGTCTAGTTCACCATGGGAGTTGTCCAGTTCACCATGGGAGTTGTCTAGTTCACCATGGGAGTTGTCTAGTTCACCATGGAAGTTGTCCAGTTCACCATGGGTATTGTCTAGTTCACCATGGGAATTGTCTAGTTCACCATGGAAGTTGTCCAGTTTACCATGGGAGTTGTCCAGTTTACCATGGGAGTTGTCTAGTTCACCATGGAAGTTGTCCAGTTCACCATGGGTATTGTCTAGTTCACCATGGAAGTTGTCTAGTTTACCATGGGAGTTGTCTAGTTCACCATGGAAGTTGTCTAGTTTACCATGGGAGTTGTCCAGTTCACCATGGGAGTTGTCCAGTTTAACATGGGAGTTCAGTCTAGTTGTGAGTGGAGTGACTGGTGGGCTAACCTGTCTAGTTGTGAGTGGGGTGACTGGTGGGATAACGTGTCTAGTTGAGAGTGGGGTGACTGGTGGGCTAACGTGTCTAGTTGTGAGTGGGGTGACTGCTAGGCTAACGTGTCTAGTTGTGAGTGGGGTAACTGCTGGGCTAACGTGTCTAGTTGTGAGTGGGGTGACTGGTGGGCTAACGTGTCTAGTTGTAAGTGGGGTAACTGGTGGGCTAACGTGTCTAGTTGTGAGTGGGGTGACTGCTAGGCTAACGTGTCTAGTTGTGAGTGGGGTAACTGCTGGGCTAACGTGTCTAGTTGTGAGTGGGGTGACTGCTGGGCTAACGTGTCTAGTTGTGAGTGGGGTGACTGCTGGGATAACCTGTCTAGTTGTGAGTGGGGTAACTGGTGGGCTAACCTGTCTAGTTGTGAGTGGGGTGACTGCTGGGCTAACCTGTCTAGTTGTGGGTGGGGTGACTGCTGGGCTAACATGTCTAGTTGTGAGTGGGGTGACTGCTGGGCTAACCTGTCTAGTTGTGAGTGGGGTGACTGCTGGGCTAACCTGTCTAGTTGTGAGTGGGGTGACTGCTGGGCTAACCTGTCTAGTTGTGAGTGGGGTGACTGGTGCGCTAACCTGTCTGGTTGTGAGTGGGGTGACTGATGAGCTAACCTGTCTAGTTGTGAGTGGGGTGACTGCTGGGCTAACCTGTCTAGTTGTGAGTGGGGTGACTGCTAGGCTAATGTGTCTAGTTGTGAGTGGGGTAACTGCTGGGCTAACCTGTCTAGTTGTGAGTGGGGTGACTGCTGGGCTAACCTGTCTAGTTGTGAGTGGGGTGACTGGTGGGATAAATATGGAGGGAAAAATCGGAAGACCTGGAGAAAAAAATCAACGCGACCACGGGGAGAGAAAGAGAGAGACGCAAACTCCTAATACACAGCAGCAGGCATCAGGGTCGAGATCGAACCCACGACCTCCTGCACACCAGGCGAGGTAGTTAACATCTCAGCCACCGTGGTGATGATGATGATGAGAGAGAGAGACGCAAACTCCAAATATACAGCAGCAGGCGTCAGGGTCGAGATCGAACTAAAGATATTCTCCCTGTCGGGGAGGGATTGACTCAGCCAATCACCACACCTCCCTCTGGGGTCGATAAACTTGAGTACCATCACTATTTTTTGGAGGGGAGGGGGGGAGTCAACAGTGGTTGTCCCATGAATTCAGCCGCTCCCGCCATAGGAAGGAGGAATTTCCACCACTATCTCTTGCAGGGCTGTAAACGTTGTCCAAAGCCTCAATGGGACTTGGGTTTGCTTGCCGGAGTTTATCGGCGCAGTGCGCTGATCACTGCGCCACCGCTCCCCACTTGAACGCACAAAAAAAGACAAAGATCCCCCGTGTAGCCTCAACAGAATGTTGGGGCAAGTGCTGTTAGCGAGGCGCAGCAGCGCCTATTACGGCACCGCGCCCGGCCGCCTTTGTCTCCCCCAGTGGCGATGTTCACTGCACACCGCACCGGGTTACTCATTTGAGGCTGAGTCGACCTAGGCGAGGCACCAGCAACCGGTTCTGATAATCGTCACCGGTGGTGTTGGTGGTGGCCGTGAGCGGGAGTCGAACTCGACACCACCGCTCCCCACCCCACCGCCCCACGTACTCGGAACGCCGATTTACACACGAGGATTCGTGGCCGCTTCATAGCAAATGCACAACCGGAGACTTAAAGCGCAGCAAACAGACCGCTTGACGTCTCACAAACATAGGAACATTAAACACGGGCGCGTGAAATACAGCGCACGAGACAGCACCCCCGCCCCCTCCACGTGGCCTTAGCCGCCCGAGGCCTACGTCGGGCTGTCCGGCTGCGGGAATCAGGCGAGGCCGGCGACTCCGCACGTGGAGGGCGATGAAGTAAAAGTTGCGGGGGTTTTTTTTTGCAATTTAAAAAAAAAATAACCCTCGTTCAAACATCTTAAATGACGGACTACATCGTCCGCGATGGTCCACCGAGAACGTCGATTTCCTTACCCGGTAAGAATCCGCGTAAATAACTTAGCCGCCTCTTCGGCTGCGACTCCTTGCGGGTGTGAATGACCAATAAAGTTACACGCAAATCGTCACGCCACAAGGGTCCCGGCACCGCGCTACCAATAAAGTTGTCGTCAAAATCGGCGGTGCGCGGTGACGTCGCCGCGTTTAGCTTGTCGATGACGCGAAGCAACGCGATGACGTCAGCAGCTCGATGACGTCACCGCGCAACAAAAACAAATTCTCACGGCCGCGCAGTTAGTGAGACGCGCACGAGGAGGGAGGAGGCTCCCTTCGATGTCGTGGGGTGTGTGTGGGGGGGTGAAACGTTGATCCATCCAGCAGTGGATTTACAAAGGTGGAGACGGTCAACGCACCGCGGTTTAACCCACACGACTTAACCCACACGGCTTAACCCAGCTTTCCTGTACAGGGAAATTGAGTTTTTAGGTCCCATACGGCGTACAGCCGTTTCAATACGGACAGCAAAACTATGAAGTTTCTGTCTCGCATAGACTCCAATGTTAAAGTCTCTACCCATAGACTCCAATGTTAAAGTCTCCCATAGACTCCAATGTTAAAGTCTCTACCCTTAGACTCCAATGTTAAAGTCTCCCATAGACTCCAATGTTAAAGTCTCCCATAGACTACAATGTTAAAGTCTCCTATAGACTCCAATGTTAAAGTCTCCCAAATACTCCAATGTTAAAGTCTCCCATAGACTCCAATGTTAAAGTCTCCCATATACTCCAATGTTAAAGTCTCCCAATGTTAAAGTCTCCAATAGACTCCAATGTTAAAGTCTCCCATAGACTCCAATGTTAAAGTCTCCCATAGACTCCAATATTAAAGTCTCCCATAGACTCCAATGTTAAAATCTCCCATAGACTCCAATGTTAACGTCTCCCATAGACTCCAATGTTAAAGTCTCCCATAGACTCCAATGTTAAAGTCTCCCATAGACTCCAATGTTTAAGTCTCCCATAGACTCCAATATTAAAGTCTCCCATAGACTCCAATGTTAAAATCTCCCATAGACTCCAATGTTAACGTCTCCCATAGACTCCAATGTTAAAGTCTCCCATAGACTCCAATGTTAAAGTCTCTCATAGACTCCAATGTTAAAGTCTCCCATAGACTCCAATGTTAAAGTCTCTACCCATAGACTCCAATGTTAAAGTCTCCCATAGACTCCAATGTTAAAGTCTCCCATAGACTCCAATGTTAAAATCTCCCATAGACTCCAATGTTAAAGTCTCTCATTGACTCCAATGTTAAAGTCTCCCATAGACTCCAATGTTAAAGTGTCTACCCATAGACTCCAATGTTAAAGTCTCCCATAGACTCTAATGTTAAAGTCTCCCATAGACTCCAATGTTAAAGACTCCCATAGACTAAAATGTTAAAGTCTCTACCCATAGACTACAATGTTAAAGTCTCCTATAGACTCCAATGTTAAAGTCTCCCAAATACTCCAATGTTAAAGTCTCCCATAGACTCCAATGTTAAAGTCTCCCATATACTCCAATGTTAAAGTCTCCCAATGTTAAAGTCTCCAATAGACTCCAATGTTAAAGTCTCCCATAGACTCCAATGTTAAAGTCTCCCATAGACTCCAATATTAAAGTCTCCCATAGACTCCAATGTTAAAATCTCCCATAGACTCCAATGTTAACGTCTCCCATAGACTCCAATGTTAAAGTCTCCCATAGACTCCAATGTTAAAGTCTCCCATAGACTCCAATGTTAAAGTCTCCCATAGACTCCAATATTAAAGTCTCCCATAGACTCCAATGTTAAAATCTCCCATAGACTCCAATGTTAACGTCTCCCATAGACTCCAATGTTAAAGTCTCCCATAGACTCCAATGTTAAAGTCTCTCATAGACTCCAATGTTAAAGTCTCCCATAGACTCCAATGTTAAAGTCTCTACCCATAGACTCCAATGTTAAAGTCTCCCATAGACTCCAATGTTAAAGTCTCCCATAGACTCCAATGTTAAAATCTCCCATAGACTCCAATGTTAAAGTCTCTCATTGACTCCAATGTTAAAGTCTCCCATAGACTCCAATGTTAAAGTGTCTACCCATAGACTCCAATGTTAAAGTCTCCCATAGACTCTAATGTTAAAGTCTCCCATAGACTCCAATGTTAAAGTCTCCCATAGACTAAAATGTTAAAGTCTCTACCCATAGACTACAATGTTAAAGTCTCCTATAGACTCCAATGTTAAAGTCTCCCAAATACTCCAATGTTAAAGTCTCCCATAGACTCCAATGTTAAAGTCTCCCATATACTCCAATGTTAAAGTCTCCCAATGTTAAAGTCTCCAATAGACTCCAATGTTAAAGTCTCCCATAGACTCCAATGTTAAAGTCTCCCATAGACTCCAATATTAAAGTCTCCCATAGACTCCAATGTTAAAATCTCCCATAGACTCCAATGTTAACGTCTCCCATAGACTCCAATGTTAAAGTCTCCCATAGACTCAAATGTTAAAGTCTCTACCCATAGACTCCAATGTTAAAGTCTCCCATAGACTCCAATGTTAAAGTCTCCCATAGACTCCAATGTTAAAGTCTCCCATAGACTCCAATATTAAAGTATCCCATAGACTCCAATGTTAAAATCTCCCATAGACTCCAATGTTAACGTCTCCCATAGACTCCAATGTTAAAGTCTCCCATAGACTCCAATGTTAAAGTCTCTCATAGACTCCAATGTTAAAGTCTCCCATAGACTCCAATGTTAAAGTGTCTACCCATAGACTCAAATGTTAAAGTCTCCCATAGACTCCAATGTTAATGTCTCCCATAGACTCCAATGTTAAAATCTCCCATAGACTCCAATGTTAAAGTCTCTCATTGACTCCAATGTTAAAGTCTCCCATAGACTCCAATGTTAAAGTGTCTACCCATAGACTCCAATGTTAAAGTCTCCCATAGACTCCAATGTTAAAGTCTACCATAGACTCCATTGTTAAAGTCTCCCATAGACTCTAATGTTAAAGTCTCTACCCATAGACTACAATGTTAAAGGCTACCATAGACTCCAATGTTAAAGTATCACATAGACTCCATTGTTAAAGTCTCCCATAGACACTAATGTTAAAGTCTCTACCCATAGACTACAATGTTAAAGTCTCCCATAGACTACAATGTTAAAGTCTCTCAGCGACTCCAATGTTAAAGTCTCCCATAGACTCCAATGTTAAAGTCTCCCATAGACTACAATGTTAAAGTCTCCCATAGACTCCAATGTTAAAGTGTCTACCCATAGACTACAATGTTAAAGTCTCCCATAGACTCCAATGTTAAAGTCTCCCATAGACTACAATGTTAAAGTTTCCCATAGACTACAATGTTAAAGTCTCTACCCATAGACTCCAATGTTAAAGTCTCCCATAGACTCTAATGTTAAAGTCTCCCATAGACTCCAATGTTAAAGTCTCCCATAGACTAAAATGTTAAAGTCTCTACCCATAGACTACAATGTTAAAGTCTCCTATAGACTCCAATGTTAAAGTCTCCCAAATACTCCAATGTTAAAGTCTCCCATAGACTCCAATGTTAAAGTCTCCCATATACTCCAATGTTAAAGTCTCCCAATGTTAAAGTCTCCAATAGACTCCATGTTAAAGTCTCCCATAGACTCCAATGTTAAAGTCTCCCATAGACTCCAATATTAAAGTCTCCCATAGACTCCAATGTTAAAATCTCCCATAGACTCCAATGTTAACGTCTCCCATAGACTCCAATGTTAAAGTCTCCCATAGACTCCAATGTTAAAGTCTCCCATAGACTCCAATGTTAAAGTCTCCCATAGACTCCAATATTAAAGTCTCCCATAGACTCCGATGTTAAAATCTCCCATAGACTCCAATGTTAACGTCTCCCATAGACTCCAATGTTAAAGTCTCCCATAGACTCCAATGTTAAAGTCTCTCATAGACTCCAATGTTAAAGTCTCCCATAGACTCCAATGTTAAAGTGTCTACCCATAGACTCCAATGTTAAAGTCTCCCATAGACTCCAATGTTAAAGTCTCCCATAGACTCCAATGTTAAAATCTCCCATAGACTCCAATGTTAAAGTCTCTCATTGACTCCAATGTTAAAGTCTCCCATAGACTCCAATGTTAAAGTGTCTACCCATAGACTCCAATGTTAAAGTCTCCCATAGACTCTAATGTTAAAGTCTCCCATAGACTCCAATGTTAAAGTCTCCCATAGACTAAAATGTTAAAGTCTCTACCCATAGACTACAATGTTAAAGTCTCCTATAGACTCCAATGTTAAAGTCTCCCAAATACTCCAATGTTAAAGTCTCCCATAGACTCCAATGTTAAAGTCTCCCATATACTCCAATGTTAAAGTCTCCCAATGTTAAAGTCTCCAATAGACTCCAATGTTAAAGTCTCCCATAGACTCCAATGTTAAAGTCTCCCATAGACTCCAATATTAAAGTCTCCCATAGACTCCAATGTTAAAATCTCCCATAGACTCCAATGTTAACGTCTCCCATAGACTCCAATGTTAATGTCTCCCATAGACTCAAATGTTAAAGTCTCTACCCATAGACTCCAATGTTAAAGTCTCCCATAGACTCCAATGTTAAAGTCTCCCATAGACTCCAATGTTAAAGTCTCCCATAGACTCCAATATTAAAGTCTCCCATAGACTCCAATGTTAAAATCTCCCATAGACTCCAATGTTAACGTCTCCCATAGACTCCAATGTTAAAGTCTCCCATAGACTCCAATGTTAAAGTCTCTCATAGACTCCAATGTTAAAGTCTCCCATAGACTCCAATGTTAAAATCTCCCATAGACTCCAATGTTAAAGTCTCTCATTGACTCCAATGTTAAAGTCTCCCATAGACTCCAATGTTAAAGTGTCTACCCATAGACTCCAATGTTAAAGTCTCCCATAGACTCTAATGTTAAAGTCTCCCATAGACTCCAATGTTAAAGTCTCCCATAGACTAAAATGTTAAAGTCTCTACCCATAGACTACAATGTTAAAGTCTCCTATAGACTCCAATGTTAAAGTCTCCCAAATACTCCAATGTTAAAGTCTCCCATAGACTCCAATGTTAAAGGCTCCCATATACTCCAATGTTAAAGTCTCCCAATGTTAAAGTCTCCAATAGACTCCAATGTTAAAGTCTCCCATAGACTCCAATGTTAAAGTCTCCCATAGACTCCAATATTAAAGTCTCCCATAGACTCCAATGTTAAAATCTCCCATAGACTCCAATGTTAACGTCTCCCATAGACTCCAATGTTAAAGTCTCCCATAGACTCAAATGTTAAAGTCTCTACCCATAGACTCCAATGTTAAAGTCTCCCATAGACTCCAATGTTAAAGTCTCCCATAGACTCCAATGTTAAAGTCTCCCATAGACTCCAATATTAAAGTCTCCCATAGACTCCAATGTTAAAATCTCCCATAGACTCCAATGTTAACGTCTCCCATAGACTCCAATGTTAAAGTCTCCCATAGACTCCAATGTTAAAGTCTCTCATAGACTCCAATGTTAAAGTCTCCCATAGACTCCAATGTTAAAGTGTCTACCCATAGACTCAAATGTTAAAGTCTCCCATAGACTCCAATGTTAAAGTCTCCCATAGACTCCAATGTTAAAATCTCCCATAGACTCCAATGTTAAAGTCTCTCATTGACTCCAATGTTAAAGTCTCCCATAGACTCCAATGTTAAAGTGTCTACCCATAGACTCCAATGTTAAAGTCTCCCATAGACTCCAATGTTAAAGTCTACCATAGACTCCATTGTTAAAGTCTCCCATAGACTCTAATGTTAAAGTCTCTACCCATAGACTACAATGTTAAAGGCTACCATAGACTCCAATGTTAAAGTATCACATAGACTCCATTGTTAAAGTCTCCCATAGACACTAATGTTAAAGTCTCTACCCATAGACTACAATGTTAAAGTCTCCCATATACTACAATGTTAAAGTCTCTCAGCGACTCCAATGTTAAAGTCTCCCATAGACTCCAATGTTAAAGTCTCCCATAGACTACAATGTTAAAGTCTCCCATAGACTCCAATGTTAAAGTGTCTACCCATAGACTACAATGTTAAAGTCTCCCATAGACTCCAATGTTAAAGTCTCCCATAGACTCTAATGTTAAAGTATCACAGACTCCAATGTTAAAGTCTCCCATAGACCATAATGTTAAAGTCTCTACCCATAGACTCCAATGTTAAAGTCTCCCATAGACTATAATGTTAAAGTCTCTACCCATAGACTCCAATGTTGAAGCACAGCTGTCAACCCATACGGTTTACCCCGTATTCTCGTACAGGGAACTTGAGTTTTCAGGTCCATACAACATACAGCGGTTTCAATACGGACAACAAATAATATTGTCTATGTGTTTGTTTATACTTGTGATGGGACTTGGTAGGATGAACGTCGAGATTTTTAAGGGGCACGGGGTGACCAATAAGGTCTGAATTTATCTTTAAGGAGATAGCCACTGATCAGGGGTTGACAGGTTTGTTGAAGACTTTCAAACTTGCAGTGCCAGGGCTCTCAAACCCACAGGGGCACCCACACCCAGGAATCCAACCCAGGTCTTGGCAAGTGCGAGGATTTTTCTTTTCTCCGGGCCCTCCGGGTTTTCCCCTCCACATTTGGAAGCATGCATTGAGACTATTTAGATGATTTCGCTGCTGTAAATGTACAACACAACAAGCCACTTTGATGAGCTGCTTTCATTTGTGGCACAGGTCGCTTCATGCCTCAGTGGGGCTTGGCCTGGTAGCATGGGGATGGTAGAATGTTGTATTTTAATGTTTGGGTGCTTTGTTGACCTTACTTTGCACTACTGTGTTTCTGTAACTGTTGTTGTAACGTTCTTACCCCGCGTCCCCTGCTGGATATGTGAACCTTATGGCGGTTACCCCGGGGCACCATAGTACCCCGACTCTCGCATAATGTCCGTGATGCAGTCACGTTTAGTCCTGTTGATGGTCGGCGATGCGACAATCGACTCCATCTCGACGAGCTGTACTCACGATGCACCACCACTGCGGTGCGTGCGAGCGAGCGTTCGGGGTTGCAGCGAGATCATCGTCCTCGCTGCGTTTCGACATCGCGGAGTGTGGCACCGATTTCGGATTGATTGGTACCCTAGTCGCGGAGTGAAGTACACCCCTGGGGAAAAAAAGTGTCCCAGATATTTAATATTTAATTGCCTCGGCCAGTTTGTATTATTTGGTACCGCCATAAGGATCATGTGGACAAGAGCTTTATAGCTCATCGGATTCCTCCAGTATAAATGTTCTGATTGTGATAGTTGAGTATCTGACATGGACAAAATGAACCCACTGATACATCCAGACCCAGGGCTCGAACTCAAAACCTCAGCTGTGCTGGTTTAGCGCATCCGACATGGCGATTATGAACCCCATAAGACACACCCAGGGCTTGAACCCATGCTTTGAGCAGTGCTAGTTGAGTGTACTGTATCTGACATGGTCATTATGAACCCACTGAGACTACCTGTTGCTGGTCTGAGACTTAGGTCATGCCACTGGCTTACTGCAAAGGAAAACGATCCAGGCTTATTTTGAGCCCTCGATTCATTCCTCCCCATTATATTTTAAGCTTCGAGCCTTAGCGGATGAATTTAACTGCGGCTCAAAATAATCGTGACTCACGAACAAAGCGTCCTCAAGCCTAGCGGTGGATTTAATATTGCAGAAGCTTAATCGGCCATGAGCATTACACTGCTGGATGAGGTCACCCGAGACTGATCGTGTTACTTAGTCTCAAGATACTGGTCCTGAGACCCAGCCTCAACTCGGGATAATGATCCTGAGACCCGGTCTCAACTCTATAGACACTGATCCTGAGACCTGGTCTCAAGACACGGACCTCGACATCCGGTCTCGAGATTACAAACTGAAAGCACATTCATTTCAGAGCATTTTTTTTTACTTTATTGGATTTCACAGGAAACAACTTTTTTTTTCCACAATCCAAAAATCGTTCGCAAAATAAAGTGGCATAGAAATATAAAAAACAAACAACTTAACTCATAAAGCACAACAGTCACTTGTTCACATCAAAGCTGTGTGTATATACTGTGTACACAGTGCATTTTACATTCAAAAATATTCTTAACATGCAAAAACTTGAACATAGCATTTATGACAAATCATGGTAGATGTGTGGGTAAGGCCACGTAATAATGATCTGGCCCAATTTGTGTCCTAGTACCAGAGCCCGGAGTAATAGTTAAGAGAGGCCTAAGGCTAATAGGCGTGAAGTGCCTATGTGTTATAAATCGCCAACATAATTAAGTCAAACATACTTATTAATTTTCCTCTGCAAAATTTTTTAAACATTTATTCGACTCAGGGTAAATGTAATCAAACATTAATCACTCGACACGTTACTTTATTCAAACTAAACTTTTTTTCCGCTAGCTGTAGCCAAGTCACAAATTACGTCATCTAAGCGTTTGGGACGGCCGCGTTCTGTCGCTCACCGTCAACGCGGAACGGAGGGCCTAAGGCCTCGTTAGGCTGTGGCTTAATCCAGCCCCCGCCTAATAAAAACCCAAAATATTTTTTTGTTGTATTTACCGGGCCGTTAAAAAAAACGACTGCACACCGCTCGACGATTTGATCGGCTCGAGTTGGATGCTGGACGGTCACCAACGATAAACATTTCTGGGCCAGATCATTTGCGTAGCTTTGACGCCGCAACTCTACGATGAGTCATACCGGCTGATAGAACCACCCCCCCCCCCTCTACGAGTCACCGCGTTCTCCCACGTCACAAGGGTGGCACAAACAGCACTTGCCTCCCCAAAAACAGCCTGTCAACGGCTAACTTTAATAACAAAGAGTTCAAAAGCGCACCGAAAACTTTCCCAAGCGGCTTGCAATCAGAATGCGGCACTGTCACACGGACAACACTCGTAAGGATGTAAAAGCAAAGCGATAAGAGACCCCAAAAAAGCAATATTAGGCTCGCCGTCAACAAATAAGGTATTTTTTTCTCCTCACCCAAGTCTTTATTATTAATTTAAGAATACCGACGGGTGGATCATTGGGAGTGCCACTCAAAAATTCAACGTTGTCATTTCCAAGGTCACGACACTTGCCACCGGTCTTCCACCGCAGCCACCTCTCGATATTCACCAAGTGGCCCGAAGCAATTTGAGAATTGACGAGTCAACACAGAAGCAGTGTAGGGGCCATGTCCCCTTGTGAATACGAGAATCTCAGCTGTCGACTTTCGCACAAAATTGTGGGCAACAAGTTGCCAGAAAACTGAAGCCATACATTCCTTGTGCATATTGGTTAGCGGCACCCTCACGTTAATATAATCTCTGTTATGGCTATATATTAACATATAAATCAGGAAAAGCTTTAACTTATTACGATCCGCAGTTCGATCTGATCACTTACAATCTGTACGGCGATTTGGTTTGTTGTTGTTGTTACAGTGCGGAGTTTACGTCCACACCAGGTTCATTACGATTTCAAAATGGAATTTCCTACAACGGAGTCCAACGTGAGATATTATCCTGCAACTAAACTGTTATGAAGGTTACATTTCAAACTCCCAAAAACAAAATCGAATTCACCTCCTCATCACCACCTTCTTGGGCAAGCCACTCGTCCACCAAACCAGTCTCACTCTCTCACCCACCTCCTCTCAATCCTGCTCCTCCTCGACCCACCCACCCACTCACTCACCACCTCAATCCACCTCCTCGATAGTCGGCCCCGACCCGGACTGTGCTCCCCCCGCGCCGGGCGAGGGCCCACCGGGGAAGCCTCCCGGCGGAGCGCCGGCGCCCTGGTACATCTTGGTGACGACGGGGGTGCACACCTTCTCCAGCTCCTTCAGCTGGTGCTGGAACTCCTCCGTCTCGGCCGTCTGATTCTTGTCGAGCCAGTTGAGCGCCTCGGTGCACTTGTCCACCACGCACTTGCGGTCGGCGTCGCTGATCTTCTGGCTGGCGCCCTCCTCGCTCACGGCGCTCTTCATGTTGAAAGCGTACGACTCGAGCGAGTTCTTGGCAGAGACCTTCTCGCGCTGAGCGTCGTCCTCAGACTTGTAGCGGTCTGCTTCCGACACCATGCGCTCGATCTCCTCCTGTGAAGCGGCGAGGAGGAGAGGGTAAGGAAGAGGATGATGATTATGATGAGGACGAGACCCAGCCTCAACTCAAAGACACCGACCCCGAGAGCCGGTCTCAACTCTAGACATTGACCAAGACCCAGTCTCAACCCAAGACACCGACCCCGAGACCCGGTCTCAACTCTAGACATTGACCAAGACCCAGTCTCAACCCAAGACACTGACCCCAAGACCCGGCCTCAACTCTAAGACACCGACCCTCTTGAGACCCCCGTCTCCTCACCGACCGCGAAAACCCCTCCTCAAAAAGACACCGACTACTCGTGGAGACACCCGGATTCACCACCCTCGCCACCCTTCTCATCACTCACCTTGCTGAGACGGCCCTTGTCGTTGTTAATGGTGATCTTGTTCTCCTTGCCCGTGCTCTTGTCCGCGGCCGCCACGTTGAGGATGCCATTGGCGTCAATGTCGAAGGTGACCTCGATCTGCGGCACCCCGCGTGGCGCCGGCGGGATGCCCGTGAGCTCAAACTTGCCCAGGAGGTTGTTGTCCTTGGTCATGGCGCGCTCACCCTCGTATACCTGCACCAGCACGCCCGGCTGGTTGTCCGCGTACGTCGTGAAGATCTGGACGGCGGGGTGGACAAAACGCACAGGCGGACAAGGCAGGTCAGGAGAGTTGCGGTGTTTTGAACGTTGCGTTTTTTTTTTTAAGAGCAGGCATTTAGACACCGCTAACAGTGCAGGGACTCCTCTGCTTTTGAACGATTTAGGTTACAGAGGTCTGTTCGCAAGCCGACTTGCTCATCAGTCCAACTTTACACTTGTCGATTCCAAACATGTTGTACGGCATCGTACACTAAACACGGGGAGTAACTAAAACATTTGTATAATCTCCTGTAGATGCCACTGGTTCTTCATGTTTTGCAGATTTAGATGCCACCACCGCCATCTATTGGCCAGTGGTTTAACTTGCAACTCTCAGTCCGAACAGGCAACTGGACGCACGGACCAGGTTTGTTCGTGTCTTTGAAAGTTTGCAGGTCGAGTGTTCGTAAGTTGAGGGAGTCCCTGTATTCTGGACTTAAACGAGATTCTGTGGAATTCTTCAACTGTGGCCTCAAACTCAAAAGATTCTGCTGAGACGCAGTCAAAAGAGAAATTGATAAAACAGGGTCTCCACTCAAGACAATAATACCCAAGGGTACCGATACTACGACCCAGTCTCAACACGTTGGGGCAAGCGCCGTTAGCTAGCAGCTATGAAGGGCTGGCACGGCACACGAGGCGGTGGGTGGGTGGGTGGGTGGCCGCACGCACAATTACCTGGGTCTGCTTGGTGGGGATGGTGCTGTTGCGCTTTATGAGCGGGGTCATGACCCCGCCGGCCGTCTCAATGCCGAGCGAGAGCGGCGCCACGTCGAGCAGCAGCAGGTCCTGCACGTTCTCAGACTTGTCGCCCGTGAGGATGGCGGCCTGCACGGCGGCGCCGTAGGCCACCGCCTCGTCCGGGTTGATGCTCTTGTTGAGTTCCTTGCCGTTGAAGAAGTCCTGCAGCAGCTTCTGGATCTTGGGGATGCGCGTCGAGCCACCCACCAGCACGAGGTCCTGGATCTGGGGCCCGGCCGGGGAGACGGGACGAGAGGAGGAGGGCAGCGGAGAAGGCGGTTGAATGTCTCGTCCAGCAGCTTCTCTTACGTAGATTTATGTTGCGCCTTATTCCATTGATGCTTTACAGCAATTATACAATTATACATGTGAGGGAGGTCGCGATGGCAAAATGTTCACTACCTTAACCACCTCGCTTGGTGTACACGAGATCGTGGGTTCAATCTCGACCCAGACGCTTCATGTATATTTGGAGTTTGGCGTCTCTCTCCCCATGGTCACCGTGTGCTCCGGTTTTTCCCTCCACATTTAGAAACATGCTTGCGAGTATTTGGCTGCTATAAATTTCCACACGATGCTAAGCCACTACACGTTGAGCTATCATTAGTGATAGCCAGGTCGCAACTAAGAGACCTACACAGCTCAGTGGGCCTTGCCTGCTGGTAAAATACAAAATAGTTTGTCGCTATAAGAGGAGCGAAGCAGGTTAGTGACGATGATTGTTTCATTGTGCAACTCGCATTATGCTACACAATGACGACAATGATTATGTTGCCCTGCGTGTGCTGGAGAAGTAAGCGCTCACATGGCTCTGTGGCTACGTGGGCTCTGACATCCATCTCACACAACATTAACACACGTGTATTTTTATAATTTACATTTTCGTGTGTATCTGGTGCTTTTTGTTAAAAGCATTCGCCATCACCACTGCCACCACAATCACCACAACCATCACCGATACTGCCATCATCATCATCACGTCACCATAATCACCACTGCCACCACAATCACCACTGCCACCACAATCACCACTGCCACCACAATCACCACCGACACTGCCATCACCATCATCACTGTCACCACAATCACCACTGCCACCACAATCACCACTGCCACCACCACCGACACTGCCATCATCACCATCACCACCGCCACCACCGCCACCACCTCACCTGCGACTTATCGAGCTTGGCGTCCCTCATGGCCTTCTCCACGGGCTCCAGCGTGCCACGGAAGAGGTCCGAGTTGAGCTCCTCGAATCGGGCGCGCGTCACCGACGTGTAGAAGTCGATGCCCTCGAACAGCGAGTCGATCTCGATGCTCGCCTGCGTGCTCGACGACAGGGTGCGCTTGGCGCGCTCGCACGCCGTTCGCAGGCGCCGCACGGCGCGCTTGTTTCCCGACAGGTCCTTGCGGTGCTTGCGCTTGAACTCGTCGGCGAAGTGGCTCACCATGCGGTTGTCGAAGTCCTCGCCGCCCAGGTGGGTGTCGCCCGCCGTCGATTTCACCTCGAAGATGCCGTCGTCGATCGTCAGGATGGAGACGTCAAAGGTGCCGCCGCCCAGGTCGAAGATGAGCACGTTGCGCTCGCCGCCAACCTGCTCCCGCGGGGCAGAGAGCGGGGAGAGCGGGGAGATTGGATGAGGGATGAGAGGAGAGAGAGGAAGATGCGGAGGACGATAAGCCAATTAAGATTGGAGACGGGGGTGGAAGGAGAGTGATGAGGTGGTTAGAGGAGGGGGGGGGGGTGGGTGGGAATAAGGAAAGAGGGGGGTGATGGTTACAGGAGGAGGTGGCGGAGAGGGGATAGGGAGGGGAGCGAAAACAGAGGGAGGGACGGTGGTGAGTGGTGAGTGGAGAGGAGAGGGAGAGAGCAGACACAGTAAGAGACATTAAGACACGAGAAACACTCACAGCGAGACACACAGGGACATAAAGACAAAGATCCCCCGTATAGCCTCAACAGACTGTGGGGCGAGTGTTGTTACTGAGCAGCACTTATGAAGGCCGCCATGGTACATGAGGTGGGTGGCCAGCACCATGCCCGGCCGCCTTTGTATCCCCGAGTGGCGATGTTTACCACACCGGGTACTCATTTGAGGCAGAGTCGAACTAGGGGAGGCCTAGGACCGGTTCAGATAATCGTCGCTGGTGTTGGCCGTGAGCGGGAATCGAACTCGGGTCACAGCCGGGTTCGTAGTGCAGCTCGTTAAGCATTGCGCTACCACTCCCAACACAGGAACACAAAGACAAAGATCCCCCCTATAGCCTTTCACAGGCTGCTGGGGCAAGTGCTGTTAGCGAGCAACTATGAATGCCGGGTGGGTGGGGTGGCCAACACCACTCCCGGTCGCCTTTGTCTCCGCAGTGGCGATGTTTTTACACACGGGGATACACACAGACAGACACAGCACCACCGCCACCACCCTCCTCACCTTCTTGTCGAGGCCGTACGCGATGGCGGCCGCTGTGGGCTCGTTGATGATTCTCAGCACGTTGAGGCCGGCGATGGTGCCCGCGTCCTTGGTGGCCTGGCGCTGGGAGTCGTTGAAGTAGGCGGGCACCGTGACGACCGCATTGGTCACCGACTTGCCCAGGTAGGCCTCGGCGATCTCCTTCATCTTGGTGAGCACCATGGAGGAGATCTCCTCCGGGAAGAACGTCTTTGCCTCGCCCTTGTACTCCACTTGAACCTGCGAGGCGGTGGACATTCCACGTTACTATGGCCCGGATGGGAGAGACGGCGAGCGAGCAAGATGGAAGGAAGAGGAGGAAGAGCAAAGGCCAGGTTGGCTGGTTGTTGTTAATCACCCCAAGTTACTTAGCTGTCACCCCAACTTCGAAAAGACCATGCATATGTATGTACTCTGACATGGACTCCTCTAACGCTTTCCCCAACACAAGTTTGTTTGTCCTCGGGGGTGTTGCAGTAGCGATAGTAACGTTAGCGCTGACGCCAGGCATGCTGGATGCAGACCACAGACTCGCACTTGAGAAACCAGTTAAACCACATGAAGCTTATACGTGAATATATCGGTCTCTTAAATCAAAACCGATTGGTTTGTGGTTAGCCCGTGTGTTTCAGTGTTTGTGTATGGGTTGTTGTATACATCTGTTGTGCGCCTCGAGGTGAACCCGAGGCTCTCGATGTCCCACAGAGCATCCCTTGCCAATTAACATCTGGCAATTCACCAGCATCGCTCTAAAAAGCAAGCCCGACTCTGATGAGGCACTCAATGTGAAAGCTGGTCCATATTTTGCTTTCTACTGATCCAATGCTAATATTATGCACTCCCATAAGGCTAGGCTGTGGGGGGGAGCTGATGGGCTGATGTCAAAAGTATTTTTATCCTCTACGTGAATAGAGGCAAGAGGCAGATCTAGAAACTTCCCTGGTGCAGACAGCGGGTTTGCCAGTCATAAAATTTCAACCTCTGTAAATCATATCCCTCCCACGTTAGTAATTAAGTATTTTCAGGGTCTTAAGTTGAGCGGAGTGGGGGGGGGGATTGCCCCCCCCCCCACTCCGTTCACCACCGCTGTGGCGAGACAGGTCTGGGCTTGGCCAAACATCTCCAATATGCAGGTGGCGGCAGCTTTGGCCTCCTCCCAGCTTGCCTGTGGCTTCCACCGCCTTCAGAATCGCAGACGAAAACTAACTGTGCACGCGTTGCCGTGTCCTACCACATCGTCACTTGTTGCCAGATCCCATTCTGGCAGGCCGCCCTGTTGCCAAAAATGCCGGGCGAGGCCTGCGGCTTGACAGGCCGCCGTGGTGGTGGCCGTTCACCGTCCAAAATTTGTCAAAAGTTTCCCAATTTGGAAGAGGACACTGCAAATGACCCAACGGCGAGCACACACAGCCGCAATAGCCCCCCCCCCCGAAGCCCCCCAGAATCTAACACCGATGTGTACGTCTGCGCAGTATTTTCCCCGTTTCTCAGGCGACAACAGTTTTTGTGCTTGTGCCCGAATGCGATTTTGCTTCATTTCGGTGACCCACGTCACTGTTGTTTGCAAACGACGAGACTACATCATCCCGGTCCCCGAGTTCTCTCACCTGGTTTAGACTAAATTAACGTGAAAGCGAGTACAGACTTAATACGGCCCACCCCTTCGCGCGATGGCTTTGTGCCACAACAGCGGCTGGTCGCTTACGAGAGTCGCAACCCACAGGTGGATTTGCGATAAAAATAAAACATTTTGGTGGAATCTCGCAACAAATCCCAACACCGTGACACAAGCGTACAGAAATTCCCATTACGCACAAATGGCAAATAAAACTCCCCGACTAAAGTATTTATAAACACGTAACATCGGCAATAATATTACAGGGCTTAATCCATCCGGGGTGGTATGCCTGTGGTCTAACATTACAGGGTGGATCGTGGGAGGATGCCGATAGCCACCTGGACGGCGTTTGGCGTATTGGCCGATGCTTGCGCGGCTAACGAGAAGATCACCAACGCCTCAAACGTGCCCCCCCCCCCGCCCAACTACAACCACCGCCCCCCCCGCTGCGCCCGCCCATCCGCTCACCTTGGGCTTGCCACCGTCGCTCACCACCGTGAAGGGCCAGTGCTTCATGTCGCTCTGCACGATGGCATCGTCGAAGCGCCTGCCGATGAGCCGCTTGGCGTCGAAGACGGTGTTGGAGGGGTTCATGGCCACCTGGTTTTTGGCGGCGTCGCCGATGAGCCTCTCCGAGTCGTTGAAGGCAACGTACGAGGGGGTCGTGCGGTTGCCCTGGTCGTTGGCGATGATCTCCACCTTGCCGTGCTGGAACACGCCGACGCACGAGTAGGTCGTGCCCAGGTCGATGCCCACCGCAATTCCCTTGGACGCCATCCTCTCGCCCTTTGCCGCCGACGAGGTCGAGGAAGTTGACGTTGGAAAGGCGAAACGGTTTGCCGACAACGGAGAGATTGGCTCGGCTCGCTTGTTGATGGGTGTCGAGGTGCGCTGTGACCGTCAACTTGTCTGCAAGGCCACAAGGGGGAATGGTGGCCCAGTTGGAGATTAGAAAAACGGAGAAAGACGGCGGTCGTTTTCCACTTCACCCGTTTGTGAAAATGTTCACTGATGCTGCTATAATCACGGTGCAAAGGCACAAGCAAAATAAAAAAAAACTGTAATGCCGTATGAAGGGCCATTGCCTGAAACGTCGCCTGTTATATACACGCTGCGTTATTTACAACTGGTGTTGTCATATTGAGGGCCTCCACATCCGATCCCCTCAGTCAAGACCACAGGTGACCAAGTCATCATCATTAAAATTATTATTATTGTAACCACAGGAATGTTCTGAATGCAACTGTTGACATATTTATTATACTATTGCCTTACACAGAAGCCCATAGACTTGCATTGACACCCATAGACCCAGATACTTGCAGAGACCCCATAGACTTCCATTGAAAAAACATTTAAATATTATTTTAAGAAATCTAGAACCTTCCTTGTAGAAGTACACTCCGTTAGCCAGCAAATTATTTCTTTATTTAGCCTCTCCTAATATGGTCATCGATGTCAACACACGTCAGCTCAAAGTAACTATTTTGTTTTTCATCATGCAAGCCCTAGAATTGCATTCGCCAATGTAAAACAGTAGTAGCCGTCATTCAGTGGCAGTGTCATCCCCATGGCGCTCGTGCCAGGCTAGGTGCACCTTTCGGGTCGATCCACTGGCGCACACACCGAGTGTGTGTGTGGTTGTTTGTTTGCGAGCACCTATTAAACCCATATTATACACCACAGAGTGCCAGGCTAGGTGCACATACACACGGTGTGTGGTTGTTTGTTTGCGAGCACCTATTAAACCCATATTATACACCCCACCCAGTGTGCCAGGCTAGGTGCACATACACACGGTGTGTGGTTGCTTGTTTGCGAGCACCTATTAAACCCATATACACCCCACCCAGAGTGCCAGGCTAGGTGCACGTACACACGGTGTGTGGTTGCTTGTTTGCGAGCACCTATTAAACCCATATACACCCCACCCAGAGTGCCAGGCTAGGTGCACGTACACACGGTGTGTGGTTGCTTGTTTGCGAGCACCTATTAAACCCACATTATACACCCCACCCAGAGTGCCAGGCTAGGTGCACGTACACACGGCGAGTGTGGTTGCTTGTTTGCGAGCACCTATTAAACCCATATTATACACCCCAGAGTGCCAGGCTAGGTGCACGTACACACGGTGTGTGTGTGTGGTTGCTTGTTTGCGAGCACCTATTAAACCCATATTATACACCCCACCCAGAGTGCCAGGCTAGGTGCACGTACACACGGTGTGTGGTTGCTTGTTTGTTTGCGAGCACCTATTAAACCCATATTATACACCCAAGAGTGCCAGGCTAGGTTCACATACACACGGTGTGTGGTTGTTTGTTTGCGAGCACCTATTAAACCCATATTATACACGCCGCCCTTATAAACCAAAGACTGTAGCGTTAGCGAACACCTATTAATGCGTTTTATCTGCAATTGGCCGGTTATATTGATTAACTTTAAAACGGTGCCATACAGGATACGCGTAGTCTATAATCAAACAGTCCGCGCGCAGTTTCTAATTTAACACAAACAGAGCGCTTAGGCGCGGAAAGCGAAGGTAGAAAGTTCAGCTTTTTAGCGTTTAAATTAACTTCGATTAGCCACCGAGGAGGCTTATGAAACAGTGAAGGGTCACCAAACCTGCAAGTGTAAATCCACTGCTGGATGAATGCCTCTCTTACGCCCCAAGCAGCTACACTTCATTACACAAATACATTTTGGAGCAAAATTAAAAAAAAACATTACAATGACCGTTGGAGTTTTCCGAGGGGGAAAAAACAAACCATTGGTGCGTTGACATTGATAACAATTAAGACATTTACACTAAATAAAATGCTAACCTGTCGAAATCACGAAACTTGTAATTGCTACAGACTTGTGTAAGACTTTGCTTTTGAACCTTCGAGAAATCCAATTACTTCGACGTCTAAATTTCACCGCAATTTTTTTTTACCATCATAATTGTTCGTTTAAAACAACATCAAACTTGGCAAACGCAAAAAAAATATCTATATATAAAAATGTTTTTACCTCAAGATTCACCACCCGCCAGACTCCTCAGCACAAATCTCGCGCGCGCTTTTTCTCCCTCCCAGCTGGGAACTCTGCGACGCCACTGCCGCGCCGCTCCCTTTTATAGCGCGGCCGGCCGCGACGTCACCCTTCCAGAAAAGACTCGCACCACCCTCCACCCCGCCCCTCAACCCCCCCAACCCCGCCCCTCAACTCCCCCAACCCCGCCCCTAAACTCCCCCAACCCCGCCCCTCAACTCCCCCAACCCCGCCCCTAAACTCCCCCAACCCCGCCCCTCAACTCTCCAACTCCGCCCCCCAACTCCCCCAACCCCGCCCCTAAACTTCCCCAACTCCGCCCCTCAAGTCCCCCCCACCCCTCCCCTCAAACCCCCCAGCCCCGCCTCTCAAACACCCCCCCCCGTTACCCCCCCCCCCACCAAAGACAAAGATCCCCCGTGTAGCCCGTAACAGACCGTCGGGGCAAGTGCTGTCAGCGACTAGCGCCTGTTGAAGCCCGCCACTGGTGCCATACGAGAGGGGGGTGGGGTGGGCCAGCACCACGCCCGGCCGCCTTTGTCTCCCCCGGTGGCGATGATTGTTTTTTTACACACCGCGCCGGTGTTAACTCATTTGAGGCCGAGTCGACCTTGGGGAGAGGGGCCCCGAGTACCCGGTTCAGACGATCACCACCGGCGGTGTTGTCGGCGGTGGTGGTGGTGGCCGTGATCGGGAATCGAACTCGGAATCGTTGCGCAGCGCCGACCGCTACCCCCCCCCCACCCTCTCGAAGTCACGTGCTCGTTCAGGGCGGGGCTGTACCCCCCCCACCACCTCCGCGGCGAAGCGAGCCAATAGGCGAGAGGAGTGGTTGGTGCGGGGGGGGGTAAGGGGGGAGGGGCCACCAATGTTAACGGTGGGGGAGGGGGCACTGCTCAACGCGGTGACGTCAACATTCCAGAACGTGCCACAGACGCCTGGTGGCGTCGCGAGGCGGCGGTCACGTGACAGGTCACCGCATGCCCGGTCACCGCATGCCCAAGCAGCTAATGTTGTGCCGGATCGCGGGGGCTTAAACGTGCACGCCACGGGCTGGATAAGAGATTGGGATTACGTGGTACGGGAAGATTGTGCAGCCGAGTGGACTTGCCGATGACTGGTAGCAGCGGTGTCAAGATCGGCGTTTGTGGAAGAGGCTCGTGAAGGACGCTGCCGCTGCTGCTGGGCAGTTTGTAGGCAGTCGCCCTCCAACAACAACGGAGGGCGGAGGAGCGACGCTCACAACAACGAGCGGAGCGCCAGGGTGGCTAAGACACAGAAACGGCACCGTAGGGGCCACAGCTGGTGTGCATCTGCCAGTCATCTCAGTCAGTCGAACTGCTGGGTCTGTCCCGTGACCTCCTGTCAGCGAACCTTCGACAAGCTTCACGCGATAGCCTCAAAGTGCACCTAGCCTGGCACGGCGGCGAATGACGGCTGCGTTGTTGGTATTGCTCGGGGATAGGGGGGGTGAGGGGGTAAGGGGGGAGGGGCTATAAACAAGGGGGGGGGCACGCGCTGCCCAACGCGGTGACGTCAACGTTCCAGAACGTGCCACGGACGTCTGGGCGGGGGAGTCAGGGGGTTAAATGGGGCGGGATTAACGGTTAAAGTGGGCGGGGGGTCAGGGGGGAAAGGTGGGGCCTGTTGGCGGAATCTGGCCAATAGCAGGGGAGCGTGGGGGCGAAAATGGGCGGGGGAAAGGGGGATGCCGGGGGCGGGGCCACGATCGGGGGGCGGGGCTAACAGAATTACGTCACGGTTCTAGAAACGCGCAGGGCGAGGCGGTGACGCGAGGCAAGAAGACGCAGCCAATAAAGTTATACAAATCTGATATCACACATGTACCGGATTATAAATCGCAGCCAATAAAGTTATACAAATCTGATATCACACATGTACCGGATTATAAATCGCAGCCAATAAAGTTATACAAATGTGATATCACACATGTACCGGATTATAAGACGCAGCCAATAAAGTTATAAAAATCCGATATCACACATGTACCGGATTATAAGACGCACCGACTACAGTTATACAAATCTGAAATCACGCGCGTACCGGATTATAAGACGCACGGTCTTAATCCACTGCTGGATGAGGAGGGCCTTATTGTACTACCATGCTTAAGAATGCTGGTCAGTGTAACTACACGGCACTAATTTATAACGAATTGTTATATTTTGGCAAGGCCCCAACTGAGCTCTGTAGTTTATTTTTTCCCAGAAGCGACCTGGCCACATCTGATAAACCAGCAATTCACCATTCTGGCGAATTGCCCGATCATGCTAATATGATATCACACGAAACGTCGTACTCAAACTGTAAATGTTGTGGATTCACTCTTCAACACACCGGTGGGCTAAAGTAGTGAATTATTAGTCTTTTGTCAACGTGACACTTTTTTGCTGATTGGCCGTGTCGGGTGGTGGAGGGTTATGACACATTTATAAATAACGCGATCTAACCCAAAAACCTTTATTATGAAAGTTGTCTGATTTGTCAGACTAGAGGCGTTTTTGATTTGGGTTAGATCGCGCCAATATTTACGATCTAACACAAATAAAAACCTCATGAAAAATAAGTAATATTTAAAGAACTGTTTTTTTTTAAAGCACGCTTTAATGAAATGTACCGTACGAGTAATGTCAGAACTCCACGACTCCAGGAAGTGGGCCCGAAGCTTGCCACAACGGAAGGGGCCCGTGGTGATTTACAGCCAACGTTGAGTTGAGCGTGGACAATTACAGCCAAGCAGAAACATAACGTATAAAAAGAACGTTTACAAATATTTTATTTCAATGACAGAATATAGTATTGTCATTAGTATGACATAAGTATACCGAGTTTGCAGTCGATACCACATTGGGAAGTGGGTTAAAATTGAGTTACAAGGTTTGAGGATACACCAACAGACAGTGAGTTAAATACAAGCGTGTAAATAATAATAATAATCGTGTAATAATAATACGATGAAAAGAAGCCAAATTCGTTGGGCTTATTGATCATGTGGCCAGGTCGCTTCTGGGAATAAAATTGAGGTTAAATCGCGTAAATATCTATGCGATCTAACCTCCATTGTGCACATTGGTCCCGTGTTAAGTTAGCTTATTTTCTTCACGTGTAAATACAGGGTGCTTAAACGAATGTAAACACTTATATGGGACCGCCGCATTTCCTGTGGCACTGTTGCAAATTCTCAGAAGTGTTCACATTCGTTTGAAGCAACCTGTAAATTAGCAGCCAAATAATCTAAACGCGTGATGTCCAGTCTACACGTGGAGGGGAAAACCGAAGGGTCCGGATGCAAACAAAAATCCACGCGACCACAGGGAGAGAGGGACACACACGCAGACTCCAAATATACAGCAGCAGCAGCATCGAACCCACGACCTCCTGTATACCAGGCGAGGTAGTTAACATCTCATAGCCACCGTGATGCTGATGAGAGAGACGCAGACTCCAAATCTACAGCAGCAGCAGGCATCGTCAGGGTCGGCATCGAACCCACGACCTCCTGCACACCAGGCGAGGTAGTTAACATTTTATAGCCACCGTGATGATGATGAGAGAGACGCAGACTCCAAATATACAGCAGCAGGCATCGTCAGGGTCGGGATCGAACCCACGACCTCCTGTAGACCAGGCGAGGTAGTTAACATCTCCTAGCCACCGTGATGATGATGATGAGAGACGCAAACTCCAAATACACAGCAGGGGTCAGGATCGAACCCACGACCTCCTGTAGACCAGGCGAGGGAGTCAACATCTCATAGCCACCGTGGCGCTCACAGGCTTCAAATAAAAAAAAAACCCACAAGTGACGTTTCAGGCAATGGATCTTCTTCATTGCAGATGGAGGCTAAGTAGGGAGGTAGAGTGGATAATGCGAGTTGGAGTTTGGGGGCGGTCAATCCACTGCTGGATGAATGACTCCCAAAGCCGTCATCATCAATCACGGTCACTCCACTGCTAGATGACTCCCTAAGTCATCATCATCAACCACGGTCACTCCACTGCTAGATGACTCCCCAAGTCATCATCATCAACCACGGTCACTCCACTGCTAGATGACTCCCTAAGTCGTCATCATCAACCACGGTCACTCCACTGCTAGATGACTCCCTAAGTCATCATCATCAACCACGGTCACTCCACTGCTAGATGACTCCCTAAGTCGTCATCATCAACCACGGTCACTCCACTGTTGGATGACTCCCTAAGTCGTCATCAACCACGGTCACTCCACTGCTAGATGACTCCCTACGTCATCATCAACCACGGTCACTCCACTGCTAGATGACTCCCTACGTCATCATCATCAACCACGGTCACTCCACTGCTAGATGACTCCCTACGTCATCATCAACCACGGTCACTCCACTGTTGGATGACTCCCTAAGTCGTCATCATCAACCACGGTCACTCCACTGTTGGATGACTCCCTAAGCCGTCATCATCAACCACGGTCAATCCACTGTTGGATGACTCCCTAAGTCATCATCATCAACCACGGTCACGCCACTGTTGGATGACTCCCTAAGCCGTCATCATCAATCACGGTCAATCCACTGTTGGATGACTCCCTACGTCATCATCATCAACCACGTTCACGCCACTGCTAGATTACTCCCTAAGTCATCATCAACCACGGCCACTCCACTGCTAGATGACTCCCTAAGTCATCATCATCAACCACGGTCACTCCACTGTTGGATGTCTCCCTACGTCATCATCAACCACGGTCACTCCACTGTTGGATGACTCCCTACGTCATCATCAACCACGGTCACTCCACTGTTGGATGACTCCCTACGTCATCATCATCAACCACGGTCACTCCACTGTTGGATGACTCCCTACGTCATCAACCACGGTCACTCCACTGTTGGATGACTCCCTACGTCATCATCATCAACCACGGTCACTCCACTGTTGGATGGCTCCCTACGTCATCATCAACCACGGTCACTCCACTGTTGGATGACTCCCTACGTCATCAACCACGGTCACTCCACTGTTGGATGACTCCCTAAGTCATCATCATCAACCACGTTCACTCCACTGTTGGATGACTCCCTACGTCATCAACCACGGTCACTCCACTGTTGAATGACTCCCTACGTCATCAACCACGGTCACTCCACTGCTAGATGACTCCCTAAGTCGTCATCATCAACCACGGTCACTCCACTGCTGGATGAATGTCCTGTGATGTGACGACGATCCACCCAGTGGCGTCTGTCCACGCTACCGATCCGTCAACACCATTCGAGTCCACGAATCTCAAGGAGCGAATCGATCCGTGACAACAACAACATTACTAAGACTCGCCTCGATGATGATGATGTTACTGATGATGATGTTACTACTGATGATGATGTTACTGCTGATGTTGATGATGTTACTGCTGATGATGGTGATGTTACTGCTGCTGATGATGATGTTACTGCTGATGATGGTGATGTTACTGCTGATGGTGGTGATGTTACTGCTGATGATGGTGATGTTACTGCTGATGATGTTGCTGTTGGACAGACGGAGAACGAGGCGATTGACATTCGCATGGCCTTGGTCTACTTGTGCTACGGACTCGACTTTGTGAGTCGCTGCCAGCATCACCACCATCATCATTATCATCATTACTGTCCCCTACCACGTGTCCCCTACCACGTGTCCCCCCCAGTGACCCCCCCCGTGTCTCTACCCCCCCAGTGCCCCCCCCCCGTGTCTCTACCCCCCCCCCCCCCAGTGACCCCCCCCCCCGTGTCTCTACCCCCCAGTGGCCCTGGGGGCGTGTCTCTGTAAAGGGGAGCGGTGGCGCAGCGGTTAGGGCGGCGCCCTGCGCTACGAACCCCACGGTTACCCGAGTTTGAGTCCCGCTCACGGCCAATGGCAGGTGGCGGAGAACGTCCGAGCACATGTCTGGGCCTCCCCTAGGTCGACTCGTCCTTAAATCAGCACCTGGCGCGGTGTGCCGTAAACATCGCCACCGGGGAGACAAAGGCGGCCGGGCGTGGTTCCAGCCACGCCCCCCCCCCCCGATTGTGTAGGTGCTGTGCTGGACTTGGTAGGCGCCGCTGCTTCTCGCCTACAGCACTTTGCTCCGGCCTTCTGCGTGGGCTACCGGGGGGACCTTTAGCTGTGTCTGTGTCTCCGTGCCCCCAGGCCAAGAACCGCCCAAGATGCAAGCCCTGGCCACCTTCCTGGACGACAAGACGTGGCTCACCGGTGACCACGTGACGCAGACACTTGTGTACACATGACGCAGACACTTGTGTACACATGACGCAGACACTTGTGTACACATGACGCAGACACTTGTGTACACGTGACGCAGCGTGTGAGACTCCGCGCGTGTGTGACTCCGCGCGTGACCCAGCTCACCTACGTGGACCTGGTGCTCTACGATGTTCTGGATCAACATCGGCTGTTCGAGCCGAGCCTCCTGCTCCCTCACCCCAACCTGGGCCAATTCCTCCAGCGCGTCGAGGTGACGAGACACGGGGGGGGGGGGGGGGGGTGGTGGAAGAGGCACAAGGACATCGGGGAGACAAAGGTGGCCGGGCATAGTCCCGGCCACACTCGCCCCCTTAGTGCCACAGTGCCGGCCTTCGTAGGTGCTGCCCCACCTGTCTGAAGGCCACCCATGTGATCTTGGTCTTCCCTTTATACATTTACGCGCTCTAACCCTGAAGGCCACTTGTATGATGCGAAAGCCTCCTGCGTGTGAAACTGCCCTTTGTCTTTGTCTCTAGGCCCTGGACAAGATCTCTGCCTTCATGAAGTCGAGCCGAATCATCCAATCGCCCATCAACAACCGTGCTGCATCATGGGGGATCAAAAAGGAATGAGCCAATCAGGAGGCCCCGCGCAAGGATCTCTCCACCGCCGTAGCCAATCAAAAGTCGGCAGAGCTTAATTGCCCATGTGGTCCGAAATGAACAAATAGGTTGTAGCCATCGCTTCGATACAGAACCCTCATCTCTCGAGGGGGGCCCTAGCTAGGCTCACCGTTACGTTCTGCGTGCGTGACCCTTGGCAAGAAGCAGTAGCTCAACCCTGAGTGAGTTGGCGGTCACCGCCGTAGCGAGGTGGCGATGATGCAGCTGTTGTTGTTGTTGCTGGTGGTGTTGGTGGTGGTGTTGGTGGTGCGGTGTCCGTAGCTCAACTGGACCTGGAGTGGTAGTGTGACCCGAGTTCGATTCCCGCTCACGGCCAACACCAGCGACGATGATCTGAAGCAGTCTTGGGCCTCCCCTAGGTCGATTCAGCCTCAATTGAGTACGCGGTGCGATGTGTAAAAACATTGCTACTTGGGGAACAAAAGCAGCCGGCCTTCATAGGCGCTTGCTAACACAAACCCTTCAACCCCTTATCAGTGCCATACTTGTTACAAATTCAGACCTTACTGGTCACCCCGTGCCCCTCATAAATCTCAAAGTTCATCCTACAAAGTCCAATCACAAGGGAGAAACACAAATAGACAACATTAAAAAAATGTTGTCTGTGTTGAAACGTCTGTATACCATATGGACCTGTAAATTCAATTTCCCTCTACAAGAATTTTGGGAAACCGTGTGAGTTTACAGGAATGCTAACAGCACTTGCCCCAACAGTCTGTCGAGGCTTTGCTGGGGAATCTTTGTCTTTGTGTGGCAGAAAAGTGGCTTAACAAAGACGACGTGGCACTGAGTGTGCCGGTGGCCGTGTGGTGGTCATAGCCATCGCTCTGCATGGCCGGATAGCGGGAGACTCGACACGGGCACGACACGGACACGACACACACACGACACACAGACGACACGGGTACAACACGCACACAACACACACACGACACACACACAACACGCACACGACACAACACACACACGACACACACACAACACACACACGACACAACACACACACGACACAACACACACACGACACACACACAACACGCACACGACACAACACACACACGACACAACACACACGACACAACACACAAACGACACACACGACACACACGACACACACAACACGCACACGACACACAGACGACACGCACACGACACACACACACGCACGACACACACGACACGCACACAACACACACGACACACACACAACACACACGACACGCACACAACACACACGACACACACACGACACACACACAACACACACGTAACACACACGACACACACAACACACGACACACAGACGACACGCACACGACACACACACGACACAACACACGACACACACACACGACGCACGCAACACACACACAACACACACACGACACACACACAACACGCACACGACACACACACGACACACACACAACACGCACACACAACACGGACACGCACAAGACACGACACACACACGACACGCACACAACACGCACACAACACACGCACACGACACACACGACACGCACACCACACGCACACGACACACACACAACACACACACGACACAACACACACACGACACAACACACACACGACACACACACAACACGCACACACACGACACACACACAACACACACACGACACAACACACACACGACACAACACACACACGACACACACACAACACGCACACGACACAACACACACACGACACAACACACACGACACAACACACAAACGACACACACGACACACACACAACACGCACACGACACACAGACGACACGCACACGACACACACACACGCACGACACACACGACACGCACACAACACACACGACACACACACGACACGCACACAACACACACGACACACACACGACACACACACAACACACACGTAACACACACGACACAACACACACACGACACACACGACACAACACACACACAACACACACACGACAAACACGACACACACAACACACACGACACACAGACGACACGCACACGACACACACACGACACAACACACGACACACACACACGACGCACGCAACACACACACAACACACACACGACACACACACAACACGCACACGACACACACACGACACACACACAACACGCACACACAACACGGACACGCACAAGACACGACACACACACGACACGCACACAACACGCACACAACACACGACACACACGACACGCACACAACACGCACACGACACACACACGACACGGGCGCGGCACGGGCTAGAGAAGAGATGGAGTGATGTGGTACAGGAGGACGTGGAGCTGAGTGGACTTGCCGATGACTGGTACCAGCGGTGTCAAGATCGGCCTCTGTGGAGGAGGCTCGTGAAGGACGCTACTGGGCAGTTGGAGGCAGTCGCCCTCCAACAACAACGGAGGGCGGAGGAGCGACGCTCACAACAACGAGCGGAGCGCCGGGCGGCTAAAGCACAGCGGGTTGGCACAGTAGGGGGGCACAGGTGGTGCATCAGCCAGTCATCTCAGTCGACCCACGGCACCTGCTGGGTGTGTCACGTGACCTCCTGCACCTAGCCTGGCACAGGTGACTTCGCCACCGCTGAGTGGCGAATGACGGCTGCGTTGTTGGTATTGCTCGGGGAGAGGGAGGGTGAGGGGGGAGGGGCTACAAACAAGGGGGGGGGCCACGCGCTGCCCAACGCGGTGACGTCAACGTTCCAGAACGTGCCACGGACGTCTGGGCGGGGGAGTCAGGGGGGGGGTTAAAGTGGGCGGGGTTAATGGTTTAAGTAGGCGGGGTTAATGGTTAAAGTGGGCGGGGGGTTAGGGAGGGGTGGGCGAATAGGCGGCTGTGGTGGCGTTGCTATCTCGTCGCCCATTGGTCAATCCACTGCCTCTATCCAGCAGTGGGTGGTGGCGGCAGGGGGGGGGTGGTGACGTCACGCAGACCCGTCGCCAATAGGAACACGACACTTCAGAGGGTTCGCCTCGATTCTTGAGAGTCGATCCGTAGCCGATTACTTAGATTAATGGATTTTCCTCTCTTTTTTTTACCGATTCAGCGGTCACTACGAGAGATTCGATTCTGGAATCGAAATGAAAACACCTGCAGCCTTTGTGTCATGGAGATGCATAGAGACCCATAGAGATCCATAGAGACCCATAGAAACCCATAGAGATCGTTAGAGACCCACAGAGATCGTTAGAGACCCATAGAGATCAATAGAGACCCATAGAGATCCATAGAGACCCATAGAAACCCATAGAGATCGTTAGAGACCCATAGAGATCAATAGAGATCGTTAGAGACCCATAGAGATCGATAGAGACCCATAGAGATCGTTAGAGACCCATAGAGACCCATAGAGATCGTTAGAGACCCATAGAGATCCATAGAGACCCAGAGACCCATAGAGATCGTTAGAGACCCATAAAGATCGATAGAGACCCATAGAGATCGATAGAGACCCATAGAGACCTATAGAGATCCCTGAGAGATGCATAGAGATCCATAGAGATGCATAGAGATCCATAGAGATCCCTGAGAGATACATAGAGATCCATAGAGATCCCTGAGAGATGCATAGAGATCCCTGAGAGATACATAGAGATACATAGAGATCCCTGAGAGATGCATAGAGATCCATAGAGATCCCTGAGAGATGCATAGAGATCCATAGAGATCCCTGAGACATACACAGAGATGCATAGAGACGCATAGAGAACCCATAGAGATCTCTGAGAGATGCACAGAGACCCACAAAGATGCATAGAGACCCACAGAGATGCACAGAGACCCACAAAGATCCCTAAGAGATGCATAGAGAACCCACAGAGATCCCACAGAGATGCACAGAGACCCACAGAGATGCACAGAGACCCACAGAGATGCATAGAGACCCACAGAGATGCACAGAGACCCACAGAGATGCACAGAGACCCACAGAGATGCACAGAGACCCACAGAGATGCATAGAGACCCACAGAGATGCACAGAGACCCACAGAGATGCACAGAGACCCACAGAGATGCAGAGACCCACAGAGATGCACAGAGACCCACAGAGATGCATAGAGACGCACAGCTGACCACGGTGATGGTGATTACACAGCGAGAGAGAGAGATCTTCACTCAAAACTGCTCTAGAGGAGTTGTACAACCCTAGCTGCCACTGCTATTCAGTGGCCTAAAATATGGCTCTAGATTTTGGTGTTATAATTTATTTATGTAGTTTATTGTTAAAAATTCGATCACAGTCCCTATGATCACTGTTACATTGGATTTATGGCTTTTATTTTGGTGATTTCGAAAAGTTTTTTGGTTTGGCCATGTTTTTGTTTATTGTAGTACGGAGTTAGACTGATGGCCTAAATCTTAGTTGTCTTGTGGTTGTTGTTGTTTGGGATTTTTGCACACAGCGTTGGTGTACGGTGCTATTTCAGGAATATTGTGATATTTTTTTCCTGTATTTTCTGTTTGCACAGTCACACAAAGTCACTTTAAGATGTTTTCTTGTTCATGTTTTTTGTTTGTTGCGGTTGCACCCGATTCAAGAGCCGAATAGCTCACAGGGCTATACCAAATAAATGAAACTATGAACTAACTATGAGAGAGAGGAGCCACGTGGAGTAGAGAACAACACGCAGGAGTAGAGGAGTGGATCGACCACGCTCACGGGGATCGTCGCGGGACAATCGAATAACGATTCCAAGGTGGGGGAGGGAATCGATCCGAGGCGAGTGCAGTAACGATTCCAGAATCGATCGTGTTTAAAAAGCAGGACGAATCGATTCCCGGGGTTCACTGACGAAGCAGAGAAGATGGCGCTCGTGCTGGGCTACTGGGACATCCGCGGGGTGAGAGACGGCGGGCCAGCTCCTCGGCCACAGCAACGTGGAGTTGCCCCCCCACCCCCTCAGCCGCGAGGCTCGCGCGTGCGGCGTAGTCGGCGTAACAGCGCTCGGTTGATCTGACCCATTGCACAGCGCCGCGGAGGGCTGTGAGATGTTGACTACCTCGCCTGGTACGCAGGAGGTCGTGGGTTCGATCCTTACCCTGACGACGCCTGCTGCTGTAGATTTGGAGTTTGCATGTCTCTCATCATCATCATCACGGTGGCTAGGAGATGTTGACTACCTCGCCTGGTGTGCAGGAGGTCGTGGGTTCGATCCCGACCCATGACACCTGCTGTATATTTGGAGTTTGCGTCTCTCTCTCATCATCATCACGGTGGCTGTGAGATGTTAACTACCTCGCCTGGTGTGCAGGAGGTCGTGGGTTCGATCCTTACCCTGACGACGCCTGCTGCTGCTGTATATTTGGAGTTTGCGTGTCTCTCTCATCATCATCACGGTGGCTGTGAGATGTTGACTACCTCGCCTGTTCTACAGGAGGTCGTGGGTTCGATCCCGACCCATGACACCTGCTGCTGTAGATTTGGAGTTTGCGTGTCTCTCTCTCTCCCCGTGGTCGCGTGGATTTTTCTCCGGGTCCTCCGCTGTGTAAATAATAATAAATAAAAGCGTGTAAATAATAATAAATAAAAGCGTGTTAATAATAACTAAAATCGTGTAAAAATGTATGCCATGATGTAGCTGCTCGACACGAACTGCCGATGTCCCCGCTGCGTGTGGCATTGTCCTTGTGCCGGCCGCCTCGAGGCGCTGTGCTCTGACACCGGTGGTGAGACGAGGCCACACCCAGAACGCAGCAGCTGCTGACTGGTGGAGGCCAAGCAGTTTCAAAGACAAAGACCAAAAATTAATGATCAAGAGCCACGCTTTGTGGTTTGAATGTTCACCAAATATTAATGATCAAGAGCCGCGCTTTGTGGTTAGAATGTTCACCAAATATTAATGATCAAGAGCCGTGCTTTGTGGTTTGAATGTTCACCAAATATTAATGATCAAGAGCCACGCTTTGTGGTTAGAATGTTCACCAAATATTAATGATCAAGAGCCGTGCTTTGTGGTTTGAATGTTCACCAAATATTAATGATCAAGAGCCACGCTTTGTGGTTTGAATGTTCACCAAATATTAACGATCAAGAGCCACGCTTTGTGGTTTGAATGTTCACCAAATATTAATGATCAAGAGCCACGCTTTGTGGTTTGAATGTTCACCAAATATTAATGATCAAGAGCCGTGCTTTGTGGTTTGAATGTTCACCAACTATTAATGATCAAGAGCCACGCTTTATGGTTAGAATGTTCACCAAATATTAATGATCAAGAGCTCTGCTTTGTGGTTAGAATGTTCACCAAATATTAACGATCAAGAGCCGTGCTTTGTGGTTAGAATGTTCACCAAATATGAATGATCAAGAGCCGTGCTTTGTGGTTAGAATGTTCACCAAATATTAACGATCAAGAGCCACGCGTTGTGGTTTGAATGTTCACCAAATATGAATGCTCAAGAGCCGTGCTTTGTGGTTTGAATGTTCACCACAACTGCTGTGCCGTGGTTCATGCAGAGACTTGGTGCCTTGTGGAAGCCATCATCTATTTAGACGATTGAATATCTTGGCACCCGCTGTTTTATTGCCAGACGGGGCAAAATCCATACTCTGTGGTTGGTTCTTTCGCTGAAGTCATGCGACTTTACCGAAAGAACCACAGATTATAAATGGGTTCTTGCAGTCACGACCGCTTCAACTCGAGGGTGAAACCCCACTCTCATATTTGTTCACCATTACTTTGATACCGGCAAAAAGGTCCCGTTGTGTATATTTGGAGTTTGCGACGTCTCTCCCCGTCTCTCTCCACGTGGTCACTGCGTGGACTTTTCCCCAGGCACTCCGCTTTTTCCCCTCCACTTGTAGAATCAGCATTTGTACAACGACGTTGTGTTGTGTACACATTGTACAACGACGTTGTGTACACATTGTACAACGACGTTGTGTACACATTGTACAACGACGTTGTGTTGTTGCGTTACGGTCTGTAACATGAGCGTCACTTTACGTAACGTGAGCAACATGCTTTGTCGAGCGAATGGGCTGGTCCCGCCCACACTAAAAGTAAATTCCTAAACGATTTTTTTTATTTAATTTTACCTGGTCTAAGGCTCCACCAAGGTGCTATGCAGCTCAGAACCATCACAAATGGTAGCTCAACGAAGCGGTTTATCACCACCACCATCATCACCATCATCATCATCACGTGGACATTTATAGCAGCAGCCAAAGACTCTAAACCGCGTCGATTCATATGTGGGGGGGAACGGCGGAGGATCCGGAGAAAAATCCACACGGCCACGGGGAGAGAGAGAGACACACAAACTCCAAATATACAGCAGCAGGCGTCATGGATCAGGATCGAACCCACGACCTCCTGCACACCAGGCGAGGTAGTCAACATCTCCTAGCCACGGTGATGAGAGAGAGACACAGACTCCAAATACACAGCAGCAGGCGTCATGGGTCAGGATCGAACCCACGACCTCCTGCACACCAGGCGAGGTAGTAAACATCTATCCACGGTGTCCTCTCACCAGCATTGGTTCAGCGAAAGCAAAACTCCATGCGTAAAATAAAATGTTTTCGCTCCAGATGACGCTGCAAAATATCTGTATTTTGATTTGGTGTGCTGATCTTAAAGGTGCATTGAAAAATGTGATACTCCGACTGATGCTCCTGTTGCTGTGGAGTGACTCATGCAGCCAGCTATGGGCTCTAGGATTTGGTGTTACATGTTATTTATGTAGTTTATTGTAAAAATTCGGTCAGTCCCTGTGATCACTGTTACGTTGCAATTATGGCTTTATTTTTTGGTGATGTCGAAAAGTTTTTTTGGTTTGGACATGTTTGTTTTGTTGTAGTACAGAGTTAGACTGATGGCCTTAATCTAAGTTGTCTTGTGGTTGTTGTTGTTGTTGTTTGACTTCCATCCCACTGGGGTTTTTTTGCACACAGCGTTGGTGCTGTACGGTGCTTTTTTCAGGAATATTTTGCTGTTTTTTTTCCATGGATTTTCTGTTTTGCACGGTCACACCAAGTCACTTTAAGATGTTTTCTCGTTCGTATTTTTGTTTGTTGTGGTTGCACCCGATTCAAGAGCCAAATGTCTCACAGGGCTATACCAAAATAAATCAACTGAAACTGCTTGAACCATAAGCCGGTGACCTGCCAGATGTTGACAGGCAAGGACGCTGGTTTCTGGGTCCTAATGCAAAACAAACTCATGTCATGATATTGATGTTGGTGATTATGTTGATGATGTTGTTGATGTTGATGATGTTGGTGATGTTTGTGAGTGGTGGGTCCTAATGCCAAACAAACTAATGTCATGATGATGTCATGATGATGATGTTGGTGATGTTTGAGTGGTGATGTTGATGATGATGATGTTGCTGATGTTGTTCATGAGTGGTGATGTTGATGATTGATGTTTATGATGATGATGTTGGTGATGTTGTTTATGAGTGGTGATGTTAATGATTGATGTTTATGGTGTTGATGATGATGGTCGATGTTGGTGATGTTGTTTATGAGTGGTGATGTTAATGATTGATGTTTATGATGATGATGTTGGTGATGTTGTTCATGAGTGGTGATGTTGATGATAATGATGTGGTGATGTTGTTTGAGTGGTGGTGTTGTTGATGATGATGTTGGTGATGTTTATGAGTGGTGATGTTAATGAGTGATGGTGATGTTGGTGATGTTTATGAGTGGTGATGTTTATGAGTGGTGATGTTAATGATTGATGTTTATGGTGATGATGATGTTGGTGATGTTGGTGATGATGACATGGTGATGTTGATGATGACATGGTGATAGCGATGTTAATGATGATGACTGATGGTGATGTCGCTGACGAGTGGTGTCGTTTTATTGCAGCTGGGCCATGCCATCCGTCTCTTACTGGAATACGTGGGTGAAGAATGGGAAGATAAACTGTACACCATCGGGGACGGTGAGATGGAGACACGGAGGAGATGGACACACACACACACAGAGAGACACGTGGACACACAGAGAGACACGTGGACACACAGAGAGACACGTGGACACAGAGAGACACGTGGACACACAGACACACGTGGACACGCACAGAGACACGTGGACACGCACAGAGAGACACGTGGACACGCACAGAGAGACACGTGGACACGCACAGAGAGACACGTGGACACGCACAGGGAGACGTGGACACGCAGAGAGACGTGGACACGCAGAGAGACGTGGACACGCAGAGAGACGTGGACACGCAGAGAGACGTGGACACGCAGAGAGACGTGGACACGCAGAGAGACGTGGACACGCAGAGAGACGTGGACACGCAGAGAGACGTGGACACGCAGAGAGATGTGGACACGCAGAGAGATGTGGACACGCACAGGGAGACGTGGACACGCACAGGAAGACGTGGACACACACAGACACACGTGGACACACACAGACACACACACACACAGAGACACACACAGACACACACAGACACACACAGACACAGACAGACACACACAGACACAGACAGACACACACAGACACAGACAGACACACAGACACACACACACAGACAGACAGACACATTGACCCTGACCCAGACTCTAACCCTGACCCTCCACCTAATCTCCCGTTTCCCCCACAGCTCCGGACTATGACAAGAAGGCCTGGCTGGACCAGAAATTTAAACTAGGCCTCGACTTCCCAAACGTAAGTTTCATGTGTGTGTGTTCAGTATCGCTATGCATGTGTGTACACATGTATATGTATGCGGTACCAGCGGTGTCAAGATCGGTCTCTGGAGGAGGCTCGTGAAGGACGCTACTGGGCAGTTGGAGGCAGTCGCCCTCCAACAACAACGGAGGGCGGAGGAGCGACGCTCACAACAACGAGCGGAGCGCCGGTTGGCTAAAGCACAGCAGGTTTGCACAGTAGGGGGCACAGGTGGTGCATCAGCCAGTCATCTCAGTCATCTTAGTCAGTCGACCCGTGGCACTTGGGTCTGCCCCGTGGCCTCCTGCCAGCGGGCATTCGACACTTCACGTGGTCTTAACATGCACATAGCCTGGCACAAGCGCCGTGGTGACATCACCGCCACTTAGTGGCGAATAGCAGTTGTTGTTTATGTGCGTGTGTATGTGGGTGTGTGTGGTCTCAGTTATCTGAAAGTTGCAAGCGAGAATTTCATAATCGCTTGCGGCTGGGGTTGGCATCGTCCCCCACTCCTGATGTCGAGGGTAAATGGGCGAGGTTTAGGACTGACTCGTGCAGCTGCAATGGCTGCTTTGGGTACGTGGTCCAGACCTCCCCAGAGACCCTGGTTGACAGAGGAGGTGTTCAGGATGGTTGAAAAAGCGACAGGCCCACTGTCATCGGCTACAGAATCCCACGTCAAAGAATGAGGAGGCTTACTGCAGCCTTCGCTCGGAGGTTCGGAGAGCCGTGAGGCGCTGCAAGGATGGGTGGTGGTCGCGGGTTGCTGAGGAGATGGAGTCTGCCTCAGTGGCCCACGATCACAAATCTCTATTTAACTCCATCAAAAAAGTAACCTGCAGCGCCACACCTATTACCATCAGGGGAAAAAACGGTGATCCAATCTCCGACCCCCAGGAACAGGTTTGCAGATTTGCTGAGCATTTCTGTGAAGTCCTGGGGAGGGGAAATCCCTCAGCCAGGAAAACATCGTGGCACAAAGTGAGGATGACCCTGCTGAGACTGCAGTGCCTCAAATATTGGAAGAAGTCACCCCCTGTGAGTGGCTGGCTGAGGTGCCATCTGTTGAGGAAGTACTGAAGGCGATCCGGAGTCTGAGACCAGGAAAGGCACCGGACAGAGATGATCTCCCAAGCGAAATGCTGAGGGAGGGTGGCGTTTGTGCACAGACTGCCCTATATGACATCATAACAACAGTCTGGACCAATGGACGGGTTCCACAGGATTGGAAGGATGCCCTGGTGGTCCCCCTTTTTAAGAAGGACCGCACAGACTAACAACTACAGAGGCATCTCACTCCTCAGTGTGTCGGGAAAGGTCCTGGCAAGGATTATTCAACATCGCCTTGCCAGGCACGCTGAGGAGAGGCTTGCGGAGCCCCAATGTGGTTTCAGGAAAGGGTGGTTCTGCACAGATGCCATATTTTCTGTCCGTCTGCTACAGCAGAGGTGTAGGGAATTCCAACAAGACCTACATCTCTGCTTTATTGACCTGGTCAAGGCCTATGATACCATCAGTAGGCCTGGGCTCTGGGTTGTTCTTCGTGCTTTTGGAGTCCCTGACCCTCTGCTCACGATCATTAAGGACCTTCATGATGGTGAGCGGGCCCGGGTAAAACTACGTGGCCGGGAGTCAGAGCCATTCCCTGTACACCTTGGGGTGTGACAGGGATGTCCTCTGGCTCCCACATTATTTAACATCTATTTTTACCACGTAGTTTGTGAAGCCTTCAATAGCTGTACCGGGGGAATCTCCATATGGTACAGATATAATGGGAGGCTGATCGATGCCCGGGTGCGGTCAAGGGATGGCTCCCTATTGCTCAACCACGTTATGTATGCTGATGATTTGGTAATAGCTGCTCAGTCAGAGGAGGAGTTGGAGACGCTGCTGCTGAGACTGGAGCGTGCCACTAAGAGATGGGGCCTTACCATCAGCCCCACAAAAACTAAGCACCTGCCTGGGTATTTTGTACCATCGGACACTCCACCCCCACAACTCCCAATCGGTGATGGGGCAGTTGTGGAGAGTTTCCCATACCTGGGCAGTGTGCTTATGACCGGCTCCAGTTTAACAGCAGAGGTCTCACTCCGAATCAGTCGAGCGGCAATATCTTCTCATCGGTTGCGTAACGCTGTGTGGAAGCTACCTGGTCTGTCACTCCGCACTAAGCTTCAGGTCTTCTCGGCCACGGTCATTCCCTCCCTTCTCTACGCTTGCGAAACGTGGACCCCCCTAATGGAACATCTTCGCCGATTTAGAAACATTTAGGCTAGCCTGCCTACCATTCATCCTGGGTTTAACCTGGCTAGATTGTGTGAGCTCACAAATCCTTGAAAGATCTGGGCATGGTCCCATCGGTGACCTCCGGCTGGCAAGGCTGCGTTGGCTGGGTCATGTAGCCCGCATGCCCAGCCACCGCATGCCGAAACAGCTTTTGTTCGGCCGGATCGAGGGAGCTAAACAGGCGCGGCACGGGCTAGAGAAGAGATGGAGTGATGTGGTACAGGAGGACGTGGAGCTGAGTGGACTTGCCAATGACTGGTACCAGCGGTGTCAAGATCGGCCTCTGTGGAGGAGGCTCGTGAAGGATGCTACTGGGCAGTTGGAGGCAGTCGCCCTCCAACAATAACGGAGGGCAGAAGAGCGACGCTCACAACAACGAGCGGAGCGCCGGGTGGCTAAAGCACAGCAGGTTGGCACAGTAGGGGGCACAGGTGGTGCATCAGCCAGTCATCTTAGTCAGTCGACCCGTGGCACCTGGGTCTGCCCCGTGACCTCCTGCTAGCGGGCGTTCGACACTTCACGTGGCCTCAAGGTGCACATGGCCTGGCACAAGCGTCGTGGTGACGTCACCGCCACTTAGTGGCGAATGGCTGTTGTTGTTGTGTGTGTATTCCCAGCTGCCCTATCTGCTGGATGGAGATGTGAAGCTGACTCAGAGCAACGCCATCTTGAGACACATCGCTCGCAAACACGGCCTGGGTAAGCAGCGTGGTGGTGGCGGTGGAGGTGGCGGTGGAGGTGGCGGTACCCGGTGCGATGTGTAAATATCACCACTGGGGAGGCAAAGGCGGCCGGTTGTGGTGCTGGCCACCCACCCCCTCGTGTGCCACAGTGCCGGCAGCCTTCCTAGGCGCTGCTTCTCGCTAACAGCATTTGCCCCAACAGTCTGTTACAGGCTACACGGGGGATCTTTGTGTTTGGTGGTGTCGGAGGTCATGGTATAACAATCGGGTTTTACCCTTTCTGGCGATAGAACTGCCGTGTTAAGATGTTAAAACACCAAACAGAATCCTTCGTCAAGGAATCCTGTCACTGCATTAACCACACAAGGTACTTGTGGTGAACATGCAAACAGAGAACACGTCCTGGTAGTGTGTGGTGATGCGTTGCTTGAAGCTGATTGGTCCGCACCAGAGACAGCTTTCTGTTGCTGCTCACGCTGCTGCTGCTGATGAATTGTGGCGTTTGCTGCTGCTGATGACAGAAGTAGTGTTAATGCTGCTGTTGCTGCTGATGAGGATGATGTTGCTGATGATGATGATGTTGCAGTTGGGCAGACAGAGAAGGAGCAAGCCTTAGTGGACATGCTGGAGGGCGAGGCGATGGACATTCGCATGGCGATGGTGCGCTTGAACTACGGGCCTGACTTTGTGAGTCTCGTAAACATCAACATCATCACCATCATCACACAGACACCATCGCCTCCTCCACCACCACACACGACATCACCACCACAACACAGATACAACCATCACAACCAACACAGAAACCATCACCAACAACCACCACACGGAAACCATCTCCACATCTCCACCATCAACATCATCAACATCACCAGTATTATTGCCATCATTAGCATTACCACCATGCCCACCAGCACCACCACCAGCACCACCACCAACATTACCATAATTGTCACCATTATCGACTTAATTATCAGCATCTATGCCTTTGTGTCTCTGTGTCTGTGCGTCTGTGCGTCGTCCGTCTGTGTGTCTGTGTGGTGTCCGTCTGTGTGGTGTCCGTCTGTGTGGTGTCCCTCTGTGTCTGTGTGGTGTCCGTCTGTGTGTCTGTGTGGTGTCCGTCTGTGTGGTGTCCGTCTGTGTGTGTGGTGTCCGTCTGTGTGTCTGTGCGTCTGTGTGGTGTCCGTCTGTGTGGTGTGCGTGTCTGTGTGATGTGTGTCTGTGTGTGTGATGTGTGTCTGTGTGTGTGTCCGTCTGTGCGTGTTGTGGGGAGCGGTGGCGCAGCGGTTGGCACGCCGCGCTACGAACCCGGCAGCCCGAGTTCGATTTTCGCGCACGGCCAACACCGGTGACGATTATCTCGCGGCACTTTGCTCCGGCCTTCTGCGTGGGCTACCCGGGGGACCTTTAGCTGTATCTGTGTCTCCGCGCCCCCAGGCTAAGAACCGCCCCGGCTTCCTGGAGTCTGTGCCGCCCAAGATGCAAGCCCTGGCCACCTTCCTGGGCGACAAGAAGTGGTTCACTGGTGACCAGGTGACGCAGACACTTGTGTACACGTGACGCAGACACTTGTGTGCATGTGACACAGACACTTGTGTACACGTGACGCAGACACTTGTGTACACGTGACGCAGACACTTGTGTACACGTGACGCAGGCACTTGTGTACACGTGACGCAGCGTGTGTGTGTACACGTGACGCAGACACTTGTGTACACGTGACGCAGACACTTGTGTACACGTGACGCAGCGTGTGTGTGTACACGTGACGCAGACACTTGTGTGCACGTGACGCAGACACTTGTGTGCACGTGACGCAGACACTTGTGTGCACGTGACGCAGACACTTGTGTACACACACACACGCTGTGTACACGTGACGCAGACACTTGTGTACACGTGACGCAGACACTTGTGTACACGTGACGCAGACACTTGTGTACACGTGACGCAGCGTGTGTGTGTGTACGTGACGCAGACACTTGTGTGCACGTGACACAGACACTTGTGTGCACGTGACACAGACACTTGTGTGCACGTGATACAGACACTTGTGTGCACGTGACGCAGACACTTGTGTACACACACACACGCTGTGTACACGTGACGCAGACACTTGTGTACACGTGACGCAGACACTTGTGTGCACGTGACGCAGACACTTGTGTACACACACACGCTGTGTACACGTGACGCAGACACTTGTGTACACGTGACGCAGACACTTGTGTACACGTGACGCAGACACTTGTGTACACGTGACGCAGCGTGTGTGTGTGTACGTGACGCAGACACTTGTGTGCACGTGACGCAGACACTTGTGTGCACGTGACGCAGACACTTGTGTGCACGTGACGCAGACACTTGTGTGCACGTGACGCAGACACTTGTGTACACGTGACGCAGACACTTGTGTGCACGTGACGCAGACACTTGTGTGCACGTGACGCAGACACTTGTGTGCACGTGACGCAGCGTGTGTGTGTACACGTGACGCAGACACTTGTGTACACGTGACGCAGACACTTGTGTACATGTGACGCAGACACTTGTGTGCACGTGACGCAGACACTTGTGTCACCGTGACGCAGACACTTGTGTACACGTGACGCAGACACTTGTGTACATGTGACGCAGACACTTGTGTGCACGTGACGCAGACACTTGTGTGCACGTGACGCAGACACTTGTGTACACGTGACGCAGACACTTGTGTCACCGTGACACAGCGTGTGTGTGTACACGTGACGCAGACACTTGTGTGCACGTGACCCAGACACTTGTGTGCACGTGACGCAGACACTTGTGTGCACGTGACCCAGACACTTGTGTGCACGTGACGCAGACACTTGTGTACACGTGACGCAGACACTTGTGTACACGTGACGCAGACACTTGTGTACACGTGACGCAGACACTTGTGTACACGTGACGCAGACACTTGTGTACACGTGACGCAGACACTTGTGTACACGTGACGCAGACACTTGTGTACACGTGACGCAGACACTTGTGTACACGTGACGCAGACACTTGTGTACACGTGACGCAGACACTTGTGTACACGTGACGCAGACACTTGTGTACACGTGACGCAGTGTGTGTGTGTACACGTGACGCAGACACTTGTGTGTACACGTGACGCAGACACTTGTGTGCACACGTGACGCAGACACTTGTGTGCATGTGACGCAGCGTGTGCGACGCCGCTTGTGACGCGTGTGTGACTACACGTGTGTGACTACACGTGTGTGTGACTCCGCGTGTGACCCAGCTCACCTACGTGGACCTGGTGCTCTACGATGTTCTGGATCAACATCGGCTGTTCGAGCCGAGCCTCCTGCTCCCTCACCCCAACCTGGGCCAATTCCTCCAGCGCGTCGAGGTGACGAGACACCGGGGGGGGGGGAGGGGGACAGGGGGGGGGGGTCTCCACGAGGCTGGGTGTAGGGATGGAGTGGGCAGCTGGCATCGCGGTGGCTATGAGATGTTAACTACCTCGCCTGGTATGCAGGAGGTTGCGGTCCAGATTCCGAACCTGATGTCTACTCTATATTCGGAGTCTGTGTATCTCTCTCCCGTGCTCGCGTGGATTTTTACACCGAGTCCTCCGGTTTTTCCCTCCAAATGTAGAATCGGCGTCTAGAGTCTTTGGCTGCTGTAAATTTCCACTTAGTTGGGTTGTTGTCTGCGATGGCCCAGTCACTTCTGAAAAAAACGCTACGTAGATCAGTGGGGCCTTGCCTCGTAAAACAAAAATAGTTTTTAGTTTACCTTGAAGGCCGTGAGCCGGCAGCGCCTGCGTGTGTCGACACATCACAGGGACAGGCTCTCTGTGTCCCTGTGATGTGGCGACACACACAGGGACACAGAGAGCCTGTCCCTGTGATGTGTCGACACACACAGGGACAGGCTCTCTGTGTCCCTGTGATGTGGCGACACACACAGGGACAGGCTCTCTCTGTCCCTGTGATGTGGCGCCACACACACAGAGACAGGCTCCCTGTGTCCCTGTGTGTGGTGACACATCACAGGGACAGGCTCTCTGTCCCTGTGTGTGGCGACACATCACAGGGACAGGCTCCCTGTGTCCCTGTGATGTGTCGACACACACAGGGACAGGCTCCCTGTGTCCCTGTGTGTGTCGCCACATCACAGGGACAGGCTCTCTGTGTCCCTGTGATGTGGCGACACATCACAGGGACAGGCTCCCTGTGTCCCTGTGATGTGGCGACACACACAGGGACAGGCTCTCTGTGTCCCTGTGATGTGGCGACACATCACAGGGACAGGCTCTCTGTGTCCCTGTGATGTGTCGCCACACACAGGGACAGGCTCCCTGTGTCCCTGCATGTAGCGGCACACACAGGGACAGGCTCTCTGTGTCCCTGTGATGTGGCGACACACACAGGGACAGGCTCTCTGTGTCCCTGTGTGTGGCGACACATCACAGGGACAGGCTCTCTGTGTCCCTGTGATGTGGCGACACATCACAGGGACAGGCTCTCTGTGTCCCTGTGTGTGGCGACACACAGGGACAGGCTCTCTGTGTCACATGGCAGGGACAGGCTCTCTGTGTCCCTGCGTCTGTGACGTGTGGAGAGCGGTGGCCACGACGGCGAGGGCTGCGAACCCGGCGGCCACAGTTGGATTCCAGGCTCTAGCCCACCGCCATTAACGGTCCTGGGGGGGGCCTCCCTTAGGGTCGACTCGAATGAGTAACGCGGTGGGATGCGGTGTCGTTAACGTCGCCACGGAGACGGCGGCGGCCCGGCCGTGGTGCTGGCCACCCACCCCCGCGTGAGACGCGTGTTAGGCGCGTGTGTTAGACTCCGCGTGTTAGACTCCGCGTGTTAGACTCCGCGTGTTAGACTCCGCGTGTTAGACTCCGCGTGTTAGACTCCGTGTGTTAGACTCCGTGTGTTAGACTCCGTGTGTTAGACTCCGTGTGTTAGACTCCGTGTGTTAGACTCCGTGTGTGTGACACCGCGTGTGTATGACGCCGCGTGTTAGACTCCGCGTGTGTGCGACTCCGCGTGCGTTAGACGCGTGTTAGACGCGTGTGCGTGTGACGTGTGTGTTTGTGACGTGTGTGTGTGCGACTCTGCGCGTGTGCGACGCCACCTGGGTGACCTTTGACTTCTCGTCTCTCCTAGGCCCTGGACAAGATCTCGGCCTTCATGAAGTCGAGCCGCTTCATAAAAAGCCCCATCAACGGGCCCATGGCGGGTTGGGGGAACAAGAAGGAGTGAGCCATTCGGCAGGAGGAGGGGGGCCTGGAGCAACGTTCTCGCCCTCTTTCTCTACCACCGTGGCCAATCGGAAGCCGGCAAAACATATACATTTCTTAGCCAATCACAAGCGTTTAGGAACGCAGGAAGCCCTCGGCCAATCGGAAGCAAGGAAGAGAATTGTTAGCCAATCGGTGCCTTGGAATGAAGCAAGCTCGTAGCCAATCGGAAGGTTGGATTAATCGCCCCCCCCCCTCCCTTATCCAATCGGAACACTCCTCTTATCCAGAACCCTGAGTAAAATTTTATCGCATCGTAGAAATGTTGCAAGTTGGGTTGAAGTTTAAAGTTGTGTCATCAGAAATGGAGACGCAACGCTGGGCATCGTAAAAGTTGGGAGAGATCTTCGGGGCGATACGCTCGTCGATTGTAAGTGACACTAATTAATAACCTGAATCGTTAATTATCATAAATAATAACGTTCGCGGAATTGTTGAAACGCACGGAGCGAAGACGTCACGGTGTCCATGTTACATGGGGGAGTGTCGCGGCGGCCATGTTGTATGGGAGGGGGGGAGGTTGTCTTCCTGGTGGCTGATTGGCCAGTGCAGTGGATGACGTAATCTGTTTAGGCACCGCCGCCACGCCCCTTGAGTTGTGACGTCACGGCATCCGTCTTGCGACATTTCGGCCTTGCGACATTTCGGCCTTGCGACATTTTGGTGTCGCCCGATGCAGAACCATCGTCTCATCCTCGTACAGAACGGTCATCTCCTGGAGGTGGCCTTCAGCAAGTTTTACGTTTTCAGTGCGTGGCCCTTCAACTCCGACACTAAATGCTTGACGTACGCACACACACACACACAGTGGACGCCATGTTGTGTCGCCCGACTGCAACAGTACAACGTGACGGTGCGCCCGCGTGCGAGGGGAGCGGTGGGACAGCGCTTGGCGCGCCGCTGTGGATGAACCCCGTCTAAAGGCCCGAGGAAGATTCCCGGCTCGCGGCCGTCATCGGTGGCGGCGGATGAATATCTCGACCGTGCCCGGTCGGCCATCCTTAGTCTTGGGGGGCTTCCCCTCCTCGGTCGACTCCGCCTGCAAACGAGGAAACCTCGCGGCGTGTGCGCCCCTGCGTGAACATCGGCATTGGGGAAATCGAACTCCGGTCTCTGGGTTCGTAGCGCAGCGCGAGAACCCCTCGGCCACTGCTCCCCACCCGCATCCACATCCACACAACAACGCACATCCACGCGCGCACACAACAACGGGGCCCATTTGCCACTAAGTCTTGGCGAGGTCACCAGCATGGTGCTTGGGCCAGGCTAGGTGCACAATCCACATGCACAAAAACACATGCAAAAAAACACATGCACAGACAGTTGTGGGTGATATGTGATTCATTAAGCTAAATAAATGTGTAGCACTTGATGTAGTGGTCTCCGCGTGGTTTTCATCATCACGGTCAGCTGCGATTCATTATTCACTTGTTACGTGTGGTTTGTCCCCCGAAACCCCCCGCACCTCCGATAAGCACGGTTGGCTAGGCGCAGTGCCAAGATAAATTGGGCCTCCGCGAGTTGCCCCAAAATCTTCCAGCGGCTTAAACGTGGAGGCCACCTTGGGAGCCTCGCCCGTGGCGCTTTGATGCTCGCGAAGTCCGCCGGGGCCATGAAGATCTGCGGTGCAGAGCTTCCTCAATGTCTTACTGGCGCCGGACATGTCCCTTAATTGTGTGACGACGAACAGTCCGTTCTCCTTTCAGTGCCGCGTGTGGTGTTTGCATAATGCCGATTGGTTTTGATGATCGATGTATTATAGGGAACAACATTTTTGTTATAACGTGAACGCCGATTGGATATCGTAACGGGATACAGGCAAACGGAACTACGTCGCGAGCGGGAATAAGCGGCGGTCGTAAAGGCTACCTGGGCGGAGCATCGTTGTCATCGTCGAAACAAGGCATTGGGATGCTGACGGATGTTTCTAAAGCAGCGGTTATCTTAACCTGGGGTGCACGCACCCCAAGTGGGTGCGAGACGTGGACAGATTTCTTTAGAAGGTAAATCGAAATTCAAATGGAGCACGGGCACGTTAGGTATAACTACTTGGTTCCGTCAAACCAGATGTATAAACATTCATTTTTTTACGATGTGGAACCAAAGGGGTGCAGGTTGCAGTAAAAGGTGAAGAACCACTGGTCTAGATGCTCCCAACGGGCCTCATTCTTGGTTCAGGCCCTGCGTTACGCATCTCACGTGCTGAAACGAACTCTGCATTACCACCTGCGATTTTTTTTTCCCATATCACGGTGTTCTTCAGAAACGCTACGACTGCTGCCACACGACAGGAGAACAACAGGCCTTACACGATCCAAGATCAAACCACGGCAGTTTGTCTCGTCGTGACCTTTCATCTCGATGCATAACCGTCTCGATTGGCATGGTAGATATCCATCTAGAAGTGTCCGAGCAAAGACTCGGACACTTCTAATAAGTCTCAAAACCACGCTCGGTAGGAGACTCAAAACCACGCTCAGTAAGAGTCTCAAAATCACACTCAGGAGACTCAAAACCACACAGTAGGAGACTCAAAACCACGTTCAGTAAGAGACTCAAAACCACACTCGGGAGACTCAAAACCACGCTCAGTAAGAGACTCAAAACCACGTTCAGTAAGAGACTCAAAACCACACTCAGTAGGAGACTCAAAACCACGCTCAGTAAGAGACTCAAAACCACACTCAGTAGGAGACTCAAAACCACACTCAGTAGGAGACTCAAAACCACGCTCAGTAAGAGACTCAAAACCACACTCGGGAGACTCAAAACCACGCTCAGTAAGAGACTCAAAACCACGTTCAGTAGGAGTCTCAAAACCACGTTCAGTAGGAGACTCAAAACCACGCTCAGTAGGAGACTCAAAACCACGCTCAGTAGGAGACTCAAAACCACGCTCAGTAGGAGACTCAAAATCACACTCAGTAGCAGACTCAAAACCACACTCAGTAGGAGACTCAAAACCACGCTCAGTAAGAGACTCAAAACCACACTCAGGAGACTCAAAACCACGCTCAGTAGGTGACTCAAAACCACGCTCAGTAGGAGACTCAAAACCACACTCAGGAGACTCAAAACCACACTCACTAGGCGACTCAAAACCACACTCAGTAAGAGACTCAGACTCAAAACCACGCTCAGTAAGAGACTCAAAACCACGCTCAGTAGGAGACTCAAAACCACGCTCAGTAGGAGACTCAAAACCACGCTCAGTAGGAGACTCAAAACCACGCTCAGTAAGAGACTCAAAACCACGCTCAGTAGGAGACTCAAAACCACGCTCAGTAGGTGACTCAAAACCACGCTCAGTAGGAGACTCAAAACCACGCTCAGTAAGAGACTCAAAACCACGCTCAGTAGGAGACTCAAAACCACGCTCAGTAAGAGACTCAAAACCACGCTCAGTAAGAGACTCAAAACCACGCTCAGTAAGAGACTCAAAACCACGCTCAGTAAGAGACTCAAAACCACGCTCAGTAAGAGACTCAAAACCACGCTCAGTAAGAGACTCAAAACCACGCTCAGCAAGAGACTCCTACCGAGTGTGGTTTTAAGTTTGTCAACGTCTCGACACCGCTCTTTGTCTTCCCAAGCCCCCCCACCCCGTCAGACTACTCTCCTGAAAGCCCGAGCCGGCCGGCAGGGTCCCAGTGCCTCCGCTCTACTTCCGCAGCATCGTCCGCAGCGTGTGCAGGATGTGGATGACGGCCAGCTCGCTGTCCCGCCGCAACTCCTCCCTGGAGGGGGGCGCCCAGGCGGGGCCACCTCGCTCCCCCTGGGCGGCAGCCACCCCTGCCGGCGACTGCTCCCCCTCCCCCTGCTCCCGTGACGTGCGGCCGTGTGAGCGAGACGTGGCCGGGCGGCGAAGCGACGAGTCGCCGCCGCCGCCGTCGCCACCGCCGCAGTTCTCCACGGTGGGGAGAAACGGCGACGCCGCCCCCGGCTTCCAATCGGGCCTGGAGGTCTCCGCCAATTTCCTCTTCCCGACGCCGTCGCCCTTCTCGCTCTCCGGCGCCGCGGTCGCGACCAGGCACACGCCGGAAGATTCTGGCCACCGTCCACCCTCCCCCACCTCGTCGTCATCCTCCCCCACCTCGTCGTCATCCTCCCCCACCTCGTCGTCATCCTCCTCCCCCTCGTCATCCTCCTCCCCCTCCTCCTCCTGCCCGCTTCGTGTCGCCCACGGCGTCTCGCCGCTGACGCGAGCGCGTGGACCCGCGGGCGGCCTCCGTTGTCCGGCTGCCCCGGGAGGGCCGAGGCTCGCAAACCCCCCGGGAGACGCCGTGGCGCCGCCCCGGTGCCCTCGAGGCCCCGGCGCGCGCCTCCGCTCGCGGGCCGCGGAGATTTGGGGAAGGCGCGCGGAGGCCCGGGGCTGGTCTCCCGCGCAGCTGCCGGCGTGCCGGAGCGTCTCGAAGTACCGCGAGTCGGAAGTCGCGACTTCATCGCCGTTGTCGCCGTCAGCCTTGATGGCGAAATCATCGAGATCGGATTCGCGGGGAGGCTCCGGCAAATTGGGCGTGCGGGCGGCACGACCTCCGGAGTCTCCGTCAACGTGGACCAGAGCCGCCGTCGTCATCAGACCGCCCCGTCGCCCCGACGCCGTGCCGCGTGGACGATGACTCCCGAGGGTCTCCGAGTCCCCGAGGAGGCCCTCGGCGCCGTGAGCCGTGGCGGCAGCGGCGGCAGCGGCAGCAGCAGCAGCGGCAGCAGTTCGCCTCCCCTGTGCCTGCGGAGTGCCGAGGCCATCCCCGGCGTCTCGAGGCCGGCCCGGCCTGACTCCACGGCTCGAGTGACTGCCAGCAGAAGTCCCCGGACGCCTTCCCCACGATTCCTCCTCCTCCTCCTCCCCCTTCTTCTCCTTCCCCTCCTCCTCCTCCTCCCCCTCCTCCCCCTCCCCCTCCTCCCCCCCGAGTGCCGCCGCGTCCTCTAGCGCCATCATCCCGCCGTCTCCCGGCCTTGACGTGCCCGACGGCGATTCCCAATGCCCGGGACGTTTCGCCCACGGCGGCCCCCCTCCCGGGTGCGCCTCCCCCGTCGTGTCCACCCCCTCCATAATTTGCCCAGACGATGGCGGCGGTGGCGGCGGCGACGGTGAAGGCCCCTTGCCGGACACGGCACGCCCGTGCACGCCGGCGGCGGGCGCCTCGTCCTGTCCATTGAAGGCCACTTTGCTCACCCGGCGGCCGGGCCCGGCGGGGCCGGCGACGTCGCCGCTCGGGTCCGGCGAACCGGGTCCCGGTTGGACTCTCGCGCGGGGCCACGCGTGCCCGCCCTGAGTGCCGCCGTCGCTCAGGGCGGGTGCCGTGCCCGTGCACCTGTCTGGCGCGTCTGCTCCTTGTGGGGCGATTTTGTGTCCGGCTGAGTGCCCGTCTAGTTTGATATCTGAGCGGCCACCTGATGCTATATTTGGCTTTCCATCTTCCACTGTGTCGGATTGATTATCTGGTCTAGAATGTCGGTGTCCATCTGGCCTGGCGTCTGAGTGCCCATCTGGCCTGGCATCTGAGTCCTCATTTGGTCTGGCATCTGCGTGCCCATCTGGATTGGCATCTGAGTGTCCCTCTGGCCCAGCATCTGAGCGTTCATCAGGTCTAGAATCTGAGTGCCCATCTGGCCTGACATCTGAGTACCCATCTGGCCTGGCATCTGAGCCTTCATCTGGCCTGGCATCTGAGTGCCCATCTGGCCTGGCATCTGAGTACCCATCTGGTCTGGCATCTGAGCCTTCATCTGGCCTGGCATCTGAGCGCCCATCTGGTCTGGCATCTGAGCGCCCATCTGATCTGGCATCTGAGTGTTCATCTGGCCTGGCATCTGAGTGCCCATCTGGCCTGGCATCTGAGTGTTCATCTGGCCTGGCATCTGAGCGCCCATCTGACCTGGCATCTGAGTGCACATCTGGCCTGGCATCTGAGCCTTCATCTGGTCTGGCATCTGAGTGCCCATCTGGTCTGGCATCTGAGTGTCCACCTAGTCTGACATCTGAGTATCCCTGTGGCCTCTCATCTGAGTGCCCATCTGGCCTGGCATCTGAGTATCCCTGTGGCCTCCCATCTGAGTGCACATCTGGCCTGGCATCTGAGTATCCCTGTGGCCTCCCATCTGAGTGCCCATCTGGTCTGGCATCTGAGTATCCCTGTGGCCTCCCATCTGAGTGCCCATCTGGCCTGCCATCCGGGTGCCCGCCCGACCCGGCGTCGCCCGGCTGAGCGCCGCCCCTGGGCCCGAGCGCCGTCTCGTCGACGCTGGCGTGCCAAGCCGCCGGCGCGGGCGCCGTGTCCCCGAGGCCCGGCGGGGCGCTCTTAGGCCTCCCCCCCTCGACGACATCGTGGGTTGAGGGGGGCGCCTGGTGGTGGTGGTGGTGGTGGCGGC